CTGCTGTCAATCAACTTCCCGTGCAATGTCCATATTTGGTAAAGTGGGCGGGGATTTGTCCGAGACACACCTGGTTTTCTCCAATGGGCGTGCACTACTGTTCAAAATTTCGGGCAAAATGGGCTACACAGTTATGAAGATAATGCATCATGACATAACAAGTGCAAGGGGATTTTACGCTGGAACATGTGCTGTACAACGCAGCCTGTTTGCATATGATTTCTATTAAATGTGACTGCGCTACTTTGTGATTTTATAGTCACAATATTTAAATACATAAATACATATTTCTAAAACGGCAACTGGGTGCTATAGCCAGCCATTGGTGCTCATTGGATTGCCTACATGAGAGGTACATATCACATGAAACAACAAAAATATTCCAAGGCACTCACGTGGTTAAGCATAAAAAGACTTTAATGAACTTGGCTAAGTCATTAAAACAACACAAATATGTTTTAATGACTTTCCCAGACCAGTTAATTAAAGGCTTTTTATACGCTTAACCACATGGGTGCCTTGAAATATTTTGTTGTTTCATTTAATGTTTATATAAATAAATACATTGTGTTTTGTTTTGGAAAATGGTATGATCATAAAAGTTTGTGAATAGCACTGTAATACCATAGTCATTGCAATAGCAAGAAAACGAGTGTAAGCTAATTAAAACCATTGTATGCTAATAAAAGATCCTCTGCGTTCTTCCATATATTCAGATATTGTCTGTCATTTCTGGACATTAGGTGAACAAGTTTTATAGAAAAAGTTACTCTTTATTTTGTGTCTTTTCTTACGTTTACATAAACTACTACTACTAGAAAAGTTTATTTTTCTTATTCCACTGAAAGACTTAATTAATTCTCAATTAATTTTGATATTATAATTTTTTTTATAGAGAAAATAATACTTCTTAATTCCTTTTCAAGTATCTTGATTTAAGATTTTTTTAATCTGTAATGGAAAACAAGACAAAAATGCAGTAAATTACAATTTTCTGAGATTTATATTTCATAAACAAACCGCAACTTCACGTTCTTGATTTTTTTTTTTCTCAGTTCTGATAGTAAAAAATGATTTCTGTAATTTATCTTCTATACTGTCACTGTTTGTTTAATATCAGCCATATGAGAAGCATTACATTTCTGATTTATGACTTTGTGGAACATCCATCCATCCTTGATGCTCAAAGTTCACATTACCGTGCTGAAAGCCAGCAACAGTGGGAGCTGAAAGAGTGTTTACACATCTTCATTAGATGACCTACACCATTAGCAGCAGCTCAGAGCGCTTTATGGATGAAGAACTAAGGTTACGTGGAGTTCACATGGCTATAAGAGCTGCTGCTGGTTTTTTTGCATAATGAAAAGAAGTATCCGGTCAATTATCAGTTAGCTTATACCTCAAACATCCAATGAGAGATAAACGTGGGATTAAAACGGATTGAGTCATTTTATTGGACTACCAAGATAACAAGAAAAGGATGTTTGTCTTACACATGCAAACACGATGAACTCAGTTCTCACGGCACCTCTATGTAGCCTATTTAAGCAATTGATTTTATTTCTGCAAAGGTTATGCAAGACCAAACAGAGTGTGCAGTAACGTTTGGAGAAATCTGTAATCTTTTAAAGTCGGCACAAAATGGAAGTTGCAATAGTCTTTTCTTCTTTATTGTGACGTATATCCGTGTGAAAAAAAAAAAGGAAGGGACTTGATTTTGTACATCGGGAATTGATTGGATGAGTGACAGGTTGTCCCGCCCTTGAGCCAGTAAACACGTCATCAGAGAAGAGATGTCATTGCACGAGGGAGGGGAAGTTATTTTGATTAAAGATAATGAGCAGCAGTCCGACATATAGGTGCATGAACTGTAAAAAGCCTTCACGTGCTTGTAGAACTTAATTATAATGTGTAAAACTTGTACATTTCTGAGAGCTACTACTTGTACCATGTGGCCGCTGTACCACCTGACCACTGCAGACCGATTGGTGTATGACATCAAATTACAGCGAGAGCGATTCAAAATACGTACTTTTAGGCTATTTACGGTAATTACAACATGTTTACAATACAACAAATTACAACAATTTGATCCAATATTTGATGTTTTTAAAATGTTGTAGATTTAAGTAGCAAATGGGAATCGCTAAAATTATTCAATATATTTTGAAACAAAGGTCTTCTTAATGATTTTCAGTTTTGTTCAAGGTAATTAAAGCAACAGTTTTTCTATAATGGAAGAATATGTAAAAGTGTGGTATAGGGTAAAAGGCGCCCCTGCTGTTGGGGTGAAAGACACAATAATTAACATGATAATAAACTGCTGGCTGACGTTTCCATTTGTTGACATGACATGGTTAGATTAAAATAGTAAATATCATATATTAAGGGTGTCCACCTTAGAGATTATCACCATATTTATAATGAAACCATCATATTTAAAAATATGATATTAATCATAGCATATGGGATCTCCCTCAATGCTTTCAGAATTTTTACTTGAACAAGTATTAACTAAGACATTATTAAATACATATTATTTTAGCTACATTTGTATAAATAACGTGTGCTTTTTTCGTGTGTGTTAAAAGGCCCAATTTGCCACCTCATAAATTTATACGATTTTTAAATCATTTTATGATTTATTTTCACAGACAATCTGTTGCTCCATCAATGTTCAATAGAAACACACACACACACACACACACATATATATAAATATATATATATATATTCTGCAATCATACACTATGGGAGGAGTGAAAAGCACATTTTTCTTAGGGAAACTTTTTTCCTAACTGTTTTTTTACGAGGGCACATGAAAAAAAGAGAGAAAAAAACATTTATAGCCTAATACATGTTGCAATATTACATTAAAAACAACAACAATTGTCCATTTTGATTTTATGGTGACATCAAATGCAGCTGACAGAACTAACAGGACTCAAAGCAGGGTATGTTACTCCCATCTGAGAAACCTTGTGACACTGCAAATTGGTTGTTCTAAATTGAAGCTAAGCACTCCCACGTGAAGTAGAAATGAGTGTTGTCAAGGTTCTGATGCCACTATAATCAACAACAGCCAATTAGAGAACACATGTCTGTACACTTCTCCAGAACTGGGAATGATGTTAAAAGATTGATACAGAACATCAGCTCTTTGTTTGCATTCCGAACAATTAAAGAAAAACTCATAGAGACCGACACATAAAACAGTTGAGATTGATGTTGTAAAGACTGAAATTACTATGATGGAGTTATTTATAGTTAATTCTATCCAGGCTTCTGGGTATTTCCTGTAAATAGCATGCAGAGTGAAAACAATAAGAGATTAAGGTCTCAAATAGAGAGAGAGAGAGAGAGAGAGAGAGAGAGAGAGAGAGAGAGAGAGAGAGAGAGAGAGAGAGAGAGAGAGAGAGAGAGAGAGAGAGAGAGAGAGAGAGAGAGAGAGAGAGAGAGAGAGAGAGAGAGAGAGAGAGAGAGAGAGAGATATTAATGCGTATGAACAGATGTTTGGTTTTATCTTATCTTTTAGTGGTTAGATATAAGTTGATTGCTCTTAGTAAAGCCTCGTTTTCTGGTATTTGTAAACCCTGAATAATCAGGACAAAAGTTTTTAATTTTGAATGAATTTTCATTTAATTTATAACCTAAATGCTGAAAGACTGAAGTTTTAGGCAAGTTCGAAAAATAAATGAATAAAATAAAGTAATATTTTTTTGTTTAAAAAAGGGATAAAAGTGAAAGTCACACGATTATTTTCATGTTTTTAATAATACCATGCATTTCTTGTAATTTCTCCACCTTCAGCGTTGTATTTGAAATGGACAAGGCAAGTCTGCCCTCTATTGGTGTAAATAAGAATATAACTCCACTGTCTCGCCGCCGCAATATTTATTCTCAAATATTGAATTATTTATATCCAACCATCCGAGATATTTGCTTTAAAAACCTTTAGATTTATAAGCAAACACTATTAATCAATGGAAATTGACGTATATTATTATACAATACATAATAAGAGTCCACTTTCCACAAAATCGTTCAGGGATTGGAAATGATTTAAAAATGTCCCCGCCATCTTGCGTTCTCGATGAACTTGTCTAACTAAATAACGCTCGCGTAACTTGCCGTCCTCAGCAGTTTGCCCTTGATATGAAGAAATGAACAGGTTGTTGGACGGCATTAGATTTGAGCTGATTTGGAAGCAGTGACACTTCAGACTCGGGAGGGGGCAAAAATGATGCATGTACCCTATGATTCACACACAGTGAGCTAACCTCCTTAGCTATTTAAATCTTTGTTAAACACGGTTAATTACAAGTGACATAAATAGTAACAGGATACACGAAATATTCAGCTTTATTTGCTACTTTTTTCTTCATTAAAGGGATAGTTCACCCCAAAATGAAAATTCTGTCATCATTTACTCACCCTCAAGTTGTTCCAAACCTGTATGAATTTCTTTCTTCTGCTGAACATAAAAGATATTTTGAAGACAATGGAGATGATGGACCCCATTGACTTCCATAGTAAGGACAAAAAACAAAACTATGGAAGTCTAGTTTGGTTACAAACATTCTTCAAAATATCTTCTCGTGTTCAGCAGAAAAAAGAAATTCATACAGGTTTGGAACAACTTGAGGTTGAGTAAATGATGACAGAATTTTAATTCACACACACACACACACACACACACACACACACACACACACACACACACACACACACACGCACACACACACTTGCAGCAGGTCTAATTATGATTACGATCACTTTTGCCTAGGTAATGTCACTTTAGATATGAATTTTCCTATCTTTATTCTGTTTATTGTAATGGCTGTCATGCCTCATCTAGTAGGATTCATTATATGAATGCGTATATTAATATTTATCAGGGTGTTTTGAGGTCACAGTTGGATTAGCTTCAAAAGTCAGCACTGATAGTACCAAGGGGGCTGTTGAAAAAATACCAAGTTAATTTGAGTTGAACGCTTGAGTTAAAATCTCTTTCAGGCAGGATTTACTTAGCATTTCATGTGTGTTTTGGCTCTGTACAGAGTAAGCAAATGAGAAACACAAAGACAGCACCATCATTATCTCTTTTTTTGACTCAATAGCGAGGTGGTTGGCAATCACAATGGCTACAACAACAACAAAAAGTTTATAGTTAAAAAAAACCAACAACAGATTTAATTATGCATATGATGCAGTAAATATAAATTTCTTTACTATAAAATGCTCATATAACTATGCCGAACATGATGACGAAAACTAACATTTATGGCACATTTTCCCCAGTATATTATGTATTACTTAAAATACATAAATGTGTAAAAAAAAATATTTTGGCATTCAGATGTGTGCACAATACTTAATCCAGAATTTTCTTGCTATCAACTTGCAAACGTAGCATACTTCGAGGAAACATATGCATCCAAAACACATGCACTCTTTCTGATATAAACAATAATTCGCTAAGCCACTGCTTTCAGCATAGAAGGCACAAAGATATATGGTTCACTACTTTTACAAATAAAGATATAGCACGAAAACAGCATGAAATGTAACGTGCAGCATATACTATATGCACACAAGTGCCTTAGTATTGAGTACAGTAAAACATGCAAGTATGTAATAGAGTGCAAAATAGAGTAAGGCGTAAGATGGGTATAAAATGTGGCGTGGCTTCATGTCCTCTGAGTATGGCTGATCATCTGTAGCCTCTAATCGCTTCCACCACAGAGCTTCAGCAGTAGTTTCTTATAATCCCCTGAGGTGTCTCCCTATAAATGCACATTAGTTTGATTACAAATATTATTATGGATCTGTCATTTTCATTTCACAAAAAATGTAAAGCATAGTTTGAGGGGTGGTTACACAGGCACTCACAGATATGGCTGTGTATAGAGATTTCCCATAAATCTTTGCGTATTCCTGACGAATGTCCAGCATGTCCACCTCGGAGCGGGTCACCATGATGCGAGTCAGAGTGCGATCCTTGGTTCCTGCTCCCTGTGCAACCAAAACAGCAATTTTTTTTTTTTTTTGAGCGTGCTCTGATCTGAAACCCGAAACTCTCGAAACTCTCAGGCCACTTCCACCTTTCATCAAATCAGAATGCATGTACCCCGTAGTTATAACCAGTGTTCCCCCACAAATTATTTCAGCATTGTGCAAACCTTTAACATTACGGTTAATATTAATAATATTACTGCCGTTATAATTATAATTACATTATATATTACGTTATAATATAAAATGTTTGCAGTCCGATTCAAATACAAATATTATCAGGTTTCAGTCATTTGTAATTACTGGACAAGACAATGATTTGTATATATGTTGCTCTAAATATTTCAGACCTTTTAAAAAAAAGTTTTACACGTGAAAGTTGAGAACATTGTTCAATACTTCAACCTGCATCTTGCATTTTACAAATTAAGAATGGGCTATTCAATTGAGTTTTTATATTAAAACTGACCATTTTTTTTATTAAATATAAAATAATTATCAAATAAATGCATAAATATTTTTTATAAATATAAAAGTATAAAAATGTCACCTAAATATAATATATATATATATACAATTGTATATTATAATTGTATAATTTTATACTTTTTATTTATGTTTAATTAAAAAATAAAGAGTAACAATAAAAATAATAGAATAATATAAAAAAATAAAAAAATAAATCACCCTATAAATACATTAGTATTAAAAATATTTTTTCAACTATAAATAAAAGATTCTTCTGGCGTACGAACTAGGGGCACTCTGTGTACTTTAACTCCTTCCTCACCAATGTTGTTTTTAAAAGTTGCCAGCCACCGCCAGCATTTTTGATCATTTTAATTTCCATGGCCCCCAGATTATTTTGTTATATGAATATCTGAACATGCAATATATCAAAAGAAAGAACAGAGCCTCAGCTTCACTTAAATGTGGGTAAAAGCAACATTTTGAACAAAAAGCTGAGAAAATCACGTTTTTGTCAAAGACTACAACATGCATAAACAATGCTTTTATCTCGTGTTTCTGCTTTTTTTTTTGTCTGTGTTTTGATCCAGAGATTTTATATCAGTAGATGTGTTATAGCGCCCCCCTACCATATAACAGTGAAAACACTGATTGCTGGAAAATTCCGTCAATGGCGGGGAAGCATTGTTTTATAAAAGATGGAAAATTCCGTCAATGGCAAGGAAAGAGTTAACACAGTTTGACTTCAAACAAAATGACTTCTAAACTATGGCTTTGTCGTAATTATTCATGATTAGTCTTCCCTTTTACACTAACACTAGACAATACAGCTAAACCACACAGAGAAGAATGAGTCTCACCTTCATGGCCTTGTAGAGTCTCTCAGCAAAGTAGGCCGGTGTGTTCTTGATGCATTTCACTGCATACAGAAAAACAGATTTAGACTCACCATATGCAAATCACCCTGCAGCTATTAATACATGTACAACACAGCAAGCAAGACAATCTTGAAACTTAAATGGAAAAATAAAACCAAATGAAGACAGACCGGGCATTCATCTGAAAGTGAAAGTCATTTAAAAGAGAAAACCTGACTGTTCCGAACAGCAAACTGAAAAGACACACTAAACACACCTCTTTATGAACATGTCACAGACTGAAAGGAAGTCATGCACTATGACACAGCAAGCACATATGTCAGCTACTTTATGTGTTATGGCACACTTATGGTTTATGAATCACGTTGTGTGATTAAAAACATATTACCACATATTTACCCTATAACAGCTTTACTCTTAAACGGGCCAGCAGGATGGAGAGCAAGTTAAAAAATACAATTATGAGGGTTTAATGAGAAGATTTCCTCAAACGATTCTAGATGGCAGATCAGAAAGCTCACCGACAGCCAGCATGCCACTCTCCAGGTCTCCAGACATCTCCCTATCGATACTCTTCTCAATGTCTCTGCCACACATGTGCTGGTACTCATTAAACACTGTCAATAGAAACACACATAATGCCTTAATACAATTAATATTTCTGCAAACAGAGATCACAAACAAACGGTCGTTAATGAGCATGGGAGAGTAATGAACTTTAAAACACAATCAATAATTTTAATTACAAAGCAACACCAACATATTGTTCATTAAACTGTCCCCTATGGATGAATGGAATACTAGCTTACTATTTAATAAATATTGTGCAATATACACTGCTGTTCAAAAATTTGGGATCAGTATGTTTTCGTTTTGTTTAGAAAATAATTGGTACTTTTATTCAGACAAGAGTATATTTACTGAATAACGACATTTATAATGTTACAAATGATTTCTAACGGTTTAATCCTGAAAAAAAAAAAAAGTTTAAACTGTTTAAAAAAAACACATTGATAATAAGAAATGTTTCTTGAGCACCAAATCATATTAGAATGATTTCTGGAGGTTCATGTGACATTGATGCTGAAAATTCAGCTTTGCCATCACAGAAATAAATTACTTTTTAAAAAAATGATCAAAACAGAAAACAGTTTCTTTGAATTGTAAGAATATTTTACAATATTACTGTTCTTGACTGTACTTTAGATTAAATAAATGCAGCCTTTGTGAGCATAAGAGACTTTGTTCAAAAACAAAATGTAAAAAATGATATGTTAATTAGATAAATGTATGTCCAGTATTGCACATCTTATGTAACAACAGACAACCATCGACTGTCGTATGGAAAAACAGGGAATGGCATAGTAAGGTTGATTTAGAGGCGTAGTCAAGTGTCTCCGCTGGAAAACATGTCCAGTCATGAGTCATAATTCTCATAATGACAACTACAGCCTTGGCAAGAGTTGGTTGACTGCAAGGCCTGATCCGAACTGAAACTGTGGCTGCCCATGTGGCAGAATTTGCAAGTTCTTTACACTTTTAAGGCCCAGATATACTTCAAGCAAAATTGAAGAACTAATGTTCTTAAGCCGGATTTGAGCTAAAGCAGCAGTAATGTATAATACATCATAATCACTTCTGCTTCAATATGTTACAGTACAGTAATCTTGACAAACAGGTTTGGAGATTTTGGTCTTTCCCTATTCAAGTAGAGATGAGCAGTACCAATTACCTAGAAGGAAAGCAATCTGTGGGTGGCACAGAGTGAACAGCCCTACTTAAAAGGACTTTAACTTGATAAAAGAACACTACTATTCCAGTCAAAGGGTCATGCCGTACCTGCTCTGAGGTGAGCTTTGCTCCGGGCACACAGGATGGCATTGAACTTAGACTCATCTGTGCCGAGTTTATTTTCCCCTGCTTGATACAGGGTCTGCAGCAGAACACAAATAAAGTATAGTAGGCACTCTTCAAAGACTGAGAAATTAATATATATATATATTTAAAAAAAAATATTTCAATAATTACCTGAGCATCCTGTTTGGCTAATGATATGTCCACATTCTCACTCTCATCGCGATTACCCTTTAAGATAATAACAGGAAGAAACACTGATTTGACATTGTCATCTGTCTTTGATGTTACAACTCAAAATATGAAGTTTTCATTATTAAATTCATGTGCACTAACTTGGATGGGTTAAATGCAGAGGACTAATTCTGAGTATGGGTTACCATACTTGGCCCTCACATGTCACTTTCACTTTTATAAAACAAAAGCACAGCTTCTGTGTACCTGGGCGAGAGAGACCAGAAGTCTGCGGAAGTGTCCAGATGTGTCACTACTTATGGCATCCTCCAGTGTTTTCTTATTCTCTAAAACAGGAACATTGAGTGTTATCTATCAAAACTCGCCACGCTTTACTGTCAAGCTCTAAATTAAAATGCGTATGGCATGTACCATATCCTTGATTGGGAAGTAATCAAATTTGTAATCGCAGAGGGAAGGAATTAAGTGATATGAGTCAGGTACGTACCAGCTTTGAAGAGTTGATTGATTTCTCGGATCTCTGCATTAGAGCGAGAGGCCAAGATTTCAATCAGACAGGCTTCATCTGTCCCTGCTCCCTGTGAAACAATCAGCAGATTACTTTTGTATTAATGACATATCAAATCTTTTTTTGATCCGTGCACCGTAAAGGAACAGTTCACTTAAAATGTAAGCGGTTGTATATGCGTGTTCATTCTTTAGAAATTCTGCTTTTGTGTTTGGTAAACTGTTCCTTTAAGGCCCAGAGAAGTGTTACATATTAACCTATGGTTCAATGGCTAAATGTAAATGATTATGACTTTTATGCTCACCAAGGCTGCATTTATATGAACAAAAACACAGTAAAAACAGTAATATTGTGAAATATTATTACAACTTAAAATAACTGTTTTCTATTTTAATATATTACAAAATGTAATTTATACTGTGATGCAAAACTGAATTTTCAGCTTCATTACTTCAGTCTTCAGTGTCACATGATCCTTCAGAAATCATTCTTTTTTTCTTTTCTTTTTTCTGAATTCTGTTAATAAAGTACTTTCACAAACCTTGATTGCCTCTTTGAGCTCACTTGCATCTAACTGAGCTGGAGTCTTCAACATGGCCAGCACCACTCTCTCAAAGTTCCCTGAAAGCTCAGACTTCAGGTCCTTGACCAAGTCCTGTAAACAATAGGTTACATGAATGCACAATGTTGCTTATCTTAAATACCCCATAACAAAATATGGGCTTTGCTGTTTGTTTGTTAGCCATTTAGTTCTTTTCTGCATTGAGGTTTTGATGATATATATGCTTGTGTTGACAAAATAATTTTAGCATCTTTATCTTTTAGTCTTCGTCCTTTGGGAAAATGGACCAAAAATACTGATGTCTCGTCTTGAACTCAGGAGTGTTTAAAAATAGCAGCTCATGATTCACAGCTGTTAAGAAAGATGACTAGCTGTTTAAAATAAACCCATCTGAAATAAACCAAAGCTCAAGAGGGCCTGCCGCTCCATCTGCTGAACAGCAAATATCTAAAAATCTCCAATGCTCTGCATTACCTTTCCATAGGCAGTCTTGTATGACACCAAGAGAGGTACACGCTGTTTGGTGGAGCGACTTCCAAGCAAATTAATGATGGCTTGTTCATCAGTGCCTGTTGAAACATGTGCTTGTGTATTAGCAGCATTTACTAAACAGATGAGTCATTTTCAGGGAAAGCTCCTATTTTATTCCATGTCATTCTACAATAAAGCTCTCAGTATTTGAACATCCGCCATCTGTATCACAAAGCGGTCAAACTTAACAAGATTAATAATAGATAGACATTAAAAAAAAGAAGAACAGAACACCTTTTACCCCCGAGGGTAAATGAGTGACGCTGCTTCCCAAGAAATAGAGTAAGAGCCTCGATAACTCTCCAAGCAAAAGCATGTTAGCTAACAGTATGCCAATTCTCAGGTATTTCAAACTTCTTTTCATCCGCAAGCGAAAAGCGAGAATTTCCCAGAGAGTATAAAGGCCTTAAGTGGAAAATGAACATGAAAAATAACCCACCGAAGCCCTTCATGGCCTTCCTGAGGACTTCTGCGTCTTTTAGCGGATCGGCTCCAGGGAAGTCTTGGATGGTCCCTCTGAATCCACGCTACAAATAAAAGAAATAAAACAACAGGGAAGTTAGGACAGAAATATATAATGCAATAAATCCCACTCAAAAAATGATTAATTATTTGATTGAGTTAATTTACTGTACATTGATAGCTGGAACAGCAGGAGCACCTCCTCCATAACCTCCACCGTATCCGGGCATGGACGGGTTGGGTGAGGGTGCTTTAGGATAGCTAGGCACGGAAGGATTGGGTGCTGGGGCGTTTGGGTAGCCCGGCATCTGCTGACCAGGGGCTGGCCCACCAGGGTATCCCATTCCTGGACCTTGGGGCATACCTCCTCCTGGCTGAGGGTACAGGCCATAGGGCTGGTTAGGGGAGGGGGCTGGTGGGCCCCCAGGTTGGGGGGCAGGATAGCCACCAGGCACTTGAGAGAACATGGATGGATTTGGGCTAAATCCACTACTGGCAGCGAACTGATTTGCCTGTGATGGAAACATTTGAGGGGGGCGAAAAAAGCACAAAGGAAAAAGCAAGCATGACAGTTAGGACAGTAAAGCAGAAGTTTCAGGAAATTAAACATATACAGCCTTGAAATGACAATACTGACGGACAAAGAGATGATTAAGGCCAGGACAGGGAGATAAGGAGGATGTTGAACAAGTGTGCATTCATGGAAAGGTTTGTTTACAGAGGGTGGCTTTGCACTGAAACGTTTCTGTTGACTTAAGCCACTCGCATCATATTGCACACTGGTTGTCACAGAGACACTGTTTTGTAACATTTAAATGATGGAAGAACTTCCACATTCACAAATTTTCCCTTGGTGTGACCCTGAATGCAGAAGTACTGCACAGGAGTAATGAAAGGGCAGCATACATTTTAAATTATGACACAGGAAATTCCTTTTTGTGGTATGTACTTGTATCAATTTATAAACATTCCCTTGTGAAAATGAAGTGTGCTTAATTGTATTAAATTGTATTGTATCAAATATTAAAAGTTTTTTTTTTTTTTTTTACTGTATTTGCAGATAAAATAATAGTAATTAAATAAAAGGCCACTAAAATGTACTTAAAAAGAGGAGACTTTCTAAACAACACATTTAAAAAGTGCACTTTGTAGTCATATCAAATTAAAAGCTTTAGTCTAAAGTAAATCTGATTAAATCATTGTTTTAATAATCGTCACTCTTTAAAAATGTACACTTTTTATGTTGTGTTGACTAACATACATGTAAAGTACTTGATTATCATTTTACTGTAGTGTGTTGTTCGATGTTGCATTTAAAGTTAATGTTTTAAATATACTAAATTGCACCTGCATCAATGTGTAATTACAAATATAGTTAAATACATACAATTTTCAATAGAAATTATATTAAAGTATAGTTTAGTTTACCATAAAGGCTTATCAGTATTTTTAGCAGTGCAATAAATAAATAAATACACTAAAATTCAAAACTTTGGGGTCAGTAAGACTTTAAGAAGTCTCTTATGCTCACCAAGGCTGCATTTATTTGATCAAAAATACAGTAAAAACTGTACAATTGTGAATTATAATTCCAATTTAAATTAATATTTTCTATTAGAATATATTTTGAAATGTGATTTATTCCTGTGATCAAAGCTGAATTTAATATAAATGTAAACAATAATGTCTTTTCCTTTAATTGCAATTAACATGAAAGTAAGTGCCCCAAAACATTATATTCAGTTTGCACTTAAGTATATTCTTTTTTAAGTATATTATTTCTCTATTAAGTACTCTTTTTTAAAAGCATGCATAGTGTACTTCCTTTTCACAAGGGTTAACGTCAAACACATTTAAGTAACCCTCCCCGCCAGAGAAAGAAAATCAAACAATTTCCATTCTTAATGATATTACTTAATTACATGGCTCTTTGTTCTCACAGTTTCGGGTGAATTATTGCCCTCGCTGCAATAGGTGAATGGATCCACACTTGTTCACATTTCCTCTGTTGAGTAAATTTGATTACGGAGCAAACTGTAAAGAAGCTTGTGCATCAGTAAATTGAATAGGGTCAAATTTGTTGGTCAAAGCACATTTGGATGACAGATAAATGATAAAAGATCAATGTCATGGTCACAAGAGCACAGTTTTGTAAAAAGCTGATAAAGAAAGGATTTGATGCAATTTCAGCCAAGGCTGTGGATTTCATGCTGACTGGAATCAAATTACCTGCATCTGTTGAGAATGGAGACCAATGTCATTTCTGAGTATGCATTACATCATCGTTTCATTGTAGAACTTACCATTCCTTGGATATTTGATGCATTGAATCCAGCATTCGGCAAATTATCCAGGCCAATAGGAGCACCCCAACCTCCTGCAAATGCATGCATTTAAAACAAGCAAGAACATAAACAAAAATGTAAACCCCACACAAATTATGACTGAACAATATCAATGCACTTCACAGTTAACATGACATCAAAACTGACCACATTTACTTATAATTAAAACATGTTCCTGATCTTATTGTGCGTGGTTCTCTGGTGCATGTTATTCCAAATAGAAAAATCGAAAAACTTTTGAAAAAAGTTCGTCTGCCTTTTAAATGAATTTTCTTTCCGACTGATGTCTCAGATCTTTCTTACTTTTCAAAGCACCTCCAATCCTCCAATCACCTGACTCCACTCTGCTTTATAATGTCTCTTAAACATTCCAGCCTATTTTTCACAATCCCAAAAATTCATGTTGTACATCTCGCTTATTGACTATCCTGTCTCACATGTCAGATTGCAGAAATAAAATGGGCTGTCAACATGAAGTCATGCTGACTTCAAAATACAGTGTGTATAGGGGAAATCCGGATACATTGTGTATCACATGTCAGGCTAATAATAGACACCAACTTTTGATCATTATTCTGTGAGTACCCTGAGGGCCCCGCATCACCCCATCTTGTAACTATATATTTTTTTCAAATCCTTTTTAGTTCTGAACCTGTTTTGATGTGATATGACAAAACAGAAACAGTGATGAATCCAGAGCAGCAGGTTTTGTTATGGTAATAAGTAGTGTCAGGTAACACTGCACTGGTGCATAATTAAGCTATTTCTGCTAGGTGTTTCTACAGCTACTTTTAAATATAAAATGTAACTCTTATAACTTGTATATTTGGTTAGTTAACATGGAATAATGTTTTTTTATGATTAAATTGAGTAAATTACTATATGGATTACTTTTAAAATTAATTAGCCAAACCACAACACCATTTAAAATGATCAAGTGAAGGCAAAAATACACTACAATTCAAAAGTGTGGGGTCAGTAAGACTTTTTTAAGAAGCCTCTTATGCTCACCAATGGTGCATTTATTTGGTCAAAAATAGAGTAAAAACTGTAATATTGTGATTCGTGAAATATAATTCCAATTTAAATGAATATTTTCTATTTGAATATATTTTGAAATATGATTTATTCCTGTGATAAAAGCTGAATTTGCAGCATCATTACTCCAGTCTTCAGAGTTACATGATCCTTCAGAAATCATTCTGATATGCTGATTGGTGCTCAAGAGGCATTTATTATTATGTTGAAAACAGTTGTGCTGCTTTACAGAACATAACAGTTCAAAAGAACAGCATTTATTTGAAATAGAAATCGTTTGTAACATTACAAAAGTATTTATTCAATGCATCCTTGCTGAATTAAAATATTTAATTAAAAAAAATCTTACTGATCCCAATATATATATATATGTTATATAATATATATATAACCACAATCTAATTCTGGGAACAAAACTGCAGTTAAACGGGCTGTTTGGGATATCTGAGTTCTTAACAGAAAAAAAAAGATTTTTACAAAGTTGTTTTCAGTATGACTGAGACTGTTTCACTTTTAATTTGATATGCAATGCATGTGACTTTATCAAATATGAATACATTCATGTTTGCCAGCGCTTTTATCTTATAGCAAACAATGTGATATTCAGTAAGTAGTAAATAATGAACGAATCATCTGTTTTTAATGCACTACATGAATGTGTGCAATTACCTCTAGCGTTTATGTTCTCTCATGTGCCTAGGAGTTAAGCACCACAGCGAGACCATGATAGACATGAGCAGAGGCAAACTGTACACACCGACAGCCACTGTCACTTTCTGTATGAGAAAGTGTCATGGCATCGTGTTGATGCTAGAACTACTACTAATGAAGATACACCGGATATTGGCTACCCTGTCTGAACAGATCAGATTTCATCTGACAGTGCTAAAGATCAGATCTGAAAATAAAATCAGATTTGTGAGCAGTGTAGAACAAAGCCTTAAGAGTTCAGAATATTCTGATGAATAAAATCCTACTGGTAAACAAAACATAGGAAGGTCAAAATTGCTAGCATGTATACACACCAAACAAAGCATATTTTGGTATGGAAAAATAGCTAAACCAACCATATTCTGGAAAATGTGTGAGACACTAGCCAACAAGTCAAGGGTTTCCTCCCAAAAGAGCATGTTGTGAAACATTAAAATGCGTTCATTCAATAATATAATCCATGTGGCCTCTGGCACAAAAACCACCCACAGATCTCTGCTCTGGGTCTCTCAAAAGAAGCACATCAGTACAAGACAATGCTAGAAGCTAGTCCCTCAATATATATATATTTTGGCTCCACCTAAAAATTCCATATGTCAACATCACTGTTCAATGAAAGCACCACTAAACAAAGTTGGTTTATCCACTGACTTTATGACTGAAGTGTCCATAAAAACTTCACAATTCAACATTTCAAACACAAACCACATTGAGTATATGATGCAAGGAAATGCATTGTGCACACTGCACATATGGAAATCATCTATTCAGATAACATCCAGATAAGTGCAGTTTCCTGGTTTTACTTTGGCTCACCTGAGGGTGGAGGAGCAAACTGCCCTGGCTGGCCGGGATAGGCACCTGGCTGGCCGGGATAGGCACCTGGCTGTGACGGGTAAGCACCAGGTTGGGGAGGGTATCCACCCGCCTGCGGGGGGTACATCCCAGGTTGAGGGGGGTAGCCCCCTGCAGCAGGAGGGTACGCCCCTGGTTGAGGTGGATATCCACCGGCCTGAGGAGGATAGCCCGTCTGGGGAGGATAGCCTGGATAGCTCATTGTCATGCCTAAAATTGAAAAAAGGATGGGTTTCTTTTACCAAAATTGCATGAAAATGAAATCTTCATAAGCTTGGATTGGAGATCGGAATAAAAAAAAAAAAGATTGCATAAATTGCTTAAAAAATGCATCAGAGGCTTCATGCATCATTTCAAAGTCAATTTATGCCTGAAATAAGCAGTTAGCACAAGCATGTTTCATTTGATGGCATAAAATACATCAGCAATACCTCATTTTCAGTGTGATAAAGGGATCGTTCACCCAAGAATGAAAGTTCTGTCATTATTTACTCACCCTCATGTCGTTCCAAACCCATAAGACTTTGGTTCATCTTCAGAACACAAATGAAGATCTTTTTGATGAAATCTGAGAGCTTTCTGTCCCTCCGTTGACAGCTACGCAACTACCATTTTGACGCTTTCATTTTTAAATGTGAATAAAAGCCAAAATTCAATCTGTTCATCATATAAAACAATCAAATCTCTTTGGAAAATTTGAACTAAACCGCTCAATTCATATGGATTAGTTTTACGACGTCTTTATTAACTTTACGTAGCTGTCAACGGATAGACAGAAAGCTCTCAGATTTCATCAAAAAGATCTTCATTTGAGTTCCGAAAATCTTATGGGTTTGGAACGACATGAGGGTGAGTAACTGATGACAGAATTTACATTTTTGGGTGATCTATCCCTTTTAACATCACGCTGAAAACTAATATACTGTTTTACAGCTTGTTGAGTTCATACTCATGCTCTTGCAAACTATTTTAACTCAAACTCGTAGATTTTAAATCAAGACTGAAGAAGTTGTCAGAAGCTTAGTGGTGGGGATGTTGAAGTTGTGCAACCGTGGCGTAATTTTTTTTACTGTATAGGTTTCAACATTCATAAAAGGTTGTTAAGGTTATCTTGATACACAAAACTAAGAATCATAAACTATTGTTGGTCATAGAGCTTATTTTCTGCAACAACCCAACAGTCAATGGGAAAATACTATAGGCAGGCTTTTTTATCTGGGAAAATAGTGATGTCAAAGTTCAGATTGGCCTACAAAAATATGTCTACTAATATATACTAATGCATAAAAAGCTTTTGATAAATCATATTGTCCAATTTAAATCAAAAATGGTCAGATTACTGATATTGCTGGCGTTGATTCAGTTTTAATAAAGTAGGTCATTGGCTCGTTTTTTTAAATAGTTTTGCAAGCATGTTCCATTACAGAAAAACATCACTCATTTCCTTTTAGGTCAGTTTGATGACAATAATCAAAACTGACACCTTCTGCTGTGTTTAACACCTGACTTGAGATGTTTAGCTTGAGATGTTGGTCTGCAAAACAGAGCAACATTTCCCTTTAGTGTGCTAACAAATCGCATGGAAATTACAACACGTGTCAACAAAAAAACTATTTATTTAGCTAAAGTTTGTTTCACTTTTTTTATACATAAACTTTTTATTTATTTGTAAAAAAACAAAAATACTAAAATCCCAGTCTAATTCAGTCTTTTTCTTCTTCTGACTGCTTAGACTTCTCAACGTTTCCTTTGAAATGCACCAAACCATAAACCCTAAGTGGAAAATAGTGTCTATGCTCTCAAAATCAAGCCCTCAATATTTATTTTACAGCAGTCAGTGCGCCTAAACGCAGTGGCGGATTTAGCAAATTGGGGGCCCAAGGCAAAGGTAGTATGGGGCCCCCCATCCGATCTTTAAAAGAGAACGAAAAAAAAAAATTCTGAATTTTTTTTTTTTAAATAAACTATTAGGCCTACATGACACTTTCTGGAGAGTTTTGTGCAAAGAAATATAGAAAAAAAGTAGGTCTAGCAAGTCTTATATTTCTGTAATTCACAGAGATCAAACACAAATATGCTGACTGAATAGATTGCTAGTTGAGAAACACTGCTTTAATTAATGTTTTTATGATGACTTTGTGAAAGTTTAACTAAACAGCATGAGCCGTCTTCCTGCTGGCTAGTAGGCTAAGTTATTTGGCAAATTTCATTCATACAGATCTGTATTATGCTATAGTTTTTGATAGTGTTATACATTTCTTACAGACAGGGCCGGATTAACCATTAGGGCAACTGGGCACTTGCCCAGGGGCCCACGACATCTAGGGGCCCTGGGCACCAGGGGCGGAGTGGCAATCAGGAGAGTCGGGAGTTGGGCCGGTAGTGTTTCGAGGCCGCGAGGGCCGGTCTGATAAAATGTATTCATTGTAAGTTCGCCATGCGCACTTGTGGCCAAAGCGAGGGGAAGAAAAAAAATATTTTAGATAACGGAGCGTATATTTGCACTAAGTGCCTGTTTTTTTACCAAAAAGACGCCCGTCACGGAATAGCTACAGTGGCGTAGGTCGTAACGCGTGAAATGCTTGAAAGCAGCTTTTGATGCGCTCGACCCGAGTTCGAATCCGCCTTTTGCCGAACTCTCTCTTCTCCCTTTTCCCAACACATATGAGATGTAAAATGTATAACCTAACATAAAGGTCTCTAGCGTTATATTTGGCCAACGAACTAAAATCGAAACCATGATATGGCTTTGTGCCTTTATAAAACAGCACAAGACTTTAAGAATAGGCATCCTGTGTGTGCTGGGTGATTTAAAGAAAAGTGCGCTCTTTGCTCACGCGATCAGCATGGTTATCTGGTGTTTTCTCCTAAATAAAAGCTCAAGGGTTTATTTCTTGCAAGTGAAGAAATTAGGACAAAAGTATTTAAATTTTCCTGTATTAGGCTATAGTGTAATGTAGACTAAAATATACTTTTGAAATATTCATTTTCATTTATAGTACATTTATAGGCTATATTATGGATTTTACGTCATAGGAATAATTATATAAATCATTATTACATTATTATAATAATTGTTTGGCATCCTAAAACACCATTGATAATGTAATGTAGACTGAGACTCTCATAACTGAAAAGATGTTTGAGCCCTCTTTAATGTCCTGGTACAAGTCAATGCTTTTTCTTTGTTAAACGAGCAGTTCATGGGTTGAAGCTCTTAATTTTGATCTCTCAAAGAGCACCAGATTGATGCATTTAACCTTAAAATGTACAAAATTTTCTTGCGGGGGAGCATGCCCCCGAACCCCCCTAGAGGCACAGAGGTCCACCCAACATAGTTTTACAAAATCCTATGGGAAAGAACGACCTTTTATGAACTTTAATCCAGCATAGCAACAAAGTTCCTTTTAAGTCAGTAAAACTGTAAATGCCATATTAAAATGTCCTTGGACAAAATATACATTTGGCCCTAAGGTGGGGGGCCTACAAGACATTGTGCCCAGGGGCCTCTGAACTCTTAATCCGGCCCTGTTTACAGATAATCACGATGATCATTGCGTTTGTCTTACCGAATGTGGTAGCTTTATGCAATTACAGTTTGTCTATAAGTTTTTTTTTATTAATGCCGACAGTAAAATGTTGCCAGATATTGCTACGAAAAACAAGAAAACAAAATAATAATAATCCGAAATAAGTTCAAAGCTTGTGTTTTGGAAATAAGATTAATATATCACTAACCCTAACATGCAACTTTCCACTTTAATAACTTCCTAAAGTGTCACATTAAATCAGAAAAACAGGTCCAGAAGACTACTGCCACCTTTCCATTAGTGGATCTGGCAACACGGAGGCTGCACGCGCGCCCTCACTCACAACGCGCTCTCAAACCCCGTTAACTGCGCTAGCCTCTCGCAGCAACATGCATAGCAAACACTCATAAGAGGTGGTTTAAACGGCTAATTAATCATTCAGAGAGCTTGACATTTTATTTTTGAATGTAAAATATGACAGAGTTCCGGACCTCGGTCACCTCATAGCTGGCTACGGCCAAGGACTTGTAACATATTAGCACATCATCACAAAAAAGTTTGTTACCTTCTGCAATTTTGCTAAAAACCTTTTGCTTTCCTCCCGCTTCCTGCTTTTTCAGCACCGCTTGGGTAGCTTCTCTGTCTGTCACTCTGTAGCCTACACTGTCTGTCAGTAATTTATTTTTCTCCGTCAGTTTTTTGGCGCATTAGCCTTGTCACTTTCGCACGCAGAAAGTGAGATAATGGAATAGTCCAATGTAGTGAGGTGGGGGGGGGGGGGGGGCCTCCTGTCTGCGACACTAATGATTTGATGCCTTTTTTCGCAAATGTTTTTTAGAAATATATAATTTGCGAAAAGTAAAAAATAAATAAAAACTTAAGCATAATTTAATGGGGCATTTTGGGGGCCCCTAGGTACGGGGCCCAAGGCAATTGCCGACCTTTGCCTAATGGTTAAGTCCGCCCCTGCCTAAACGAGAAGTTCCCGCGGTACAAACCATGGAAACACATTACATAAACTACAGCTGAAGCTCTGCCCTGCTGCTATAGAAAACTACAGTCATGTTCAGGAAGTAAAACTCCCATTCATATTTTCCACAGGGAAACTATTTTTTTTTAGTGATAACCAGGGCCTGAAATTAACACCCGACCACCTGCCAAATGCGGGTGAATTTTGCTATTGGCGGGTAACACTGTCAATCTACCTGCCACATTGGCAGGTAGCCAATGAGAATTGAGTGATTCATTAGGTTTTTTTTTTTACGTTTTCATTTTCATTGCGTTGGACCTTAGCTATAATGTGGCGGCACATTACTGGGGTAAAAAGGCCAGCTGAAACAAACAACCAACAAAAAGATGAGGATGAGTATAAGAAAAGTAAAAGAAGACATTTTAATACAAAGTGGTCAATTGGCGACAACGGCAAGGTTCGTGAGCGGCTGATTTTGACAGCCACTCTTGTTTCGTAACGTTTATGCGATCAGAAAGAAGATGAGGCCCTTTTCTGACTATGTTTGGATGTGCGAGTATTAAACTGTTGGTGAGATGGGATGAGATAATGTAACGCTGACGTAGGCTCCAGAACAATGACAGTTGCACAGATGTGTGCGTGTGCAACTGTAGTACATGTTGGGAGTTGGGAACCGGTGAGAAAATGTCCGGTACCCGGTAACTTTACCAGTAATTTAGTTCTGCTTAACGGTACCTGAACGCTGTAACTAAAAGCTGTCAGGACCTAGCTGTCTACGTGACTAAATCAGCCATCGACACAGCCGCGGGTGATTTGTTTGCATACGAGCTGCGATAGGTCTATAGATCTGTTATGCGTGTGTGTGTCAAAATCAATGAATAAAAAGATTTTTTAAAAATGTATATTCTAAGAGTTATTATTACTTATATTGATTTCGTTAATAACTTGACAGCACTTAAATGTGTACAAGTTAAAGAACAATATTGTGAAATTCCCGTTTTTCACCTTTAGGCTGTGAGGCAAAAAAAAAAAAGGCTGGTAAAAAGTCTCTGTGGCAGGTGAATTTTGATATCCACCTGCCACAGTGGCTGGTGGCCAAAAAAGTTAACTTCAGGCCCTGGTGATAACGTATTAACCTTTCAACACTGACGTATCGAGAGCTCTGAGGTTGGTAAATGATGGTACAGTACATGCTTCTGTAGAAGCCTCAAGTCAGTGTTTTTAAACGCAACTTTAAAAACATTTTTTTTTTTTTATCTAAAATAATACACCACCTATAATACTGAGGACAGTTCCACCAATCAGAAATCATCGCTGTTACCATGGAAAGAAAAATAATTTTGCAGTGACAGCCCACCCCAAAAATAATGAGGTCAATCTCCTGATTGAAATATATGGTTTTTGTGAGAGTCGAGAGATCGACTCAATTATGCAGTGCTTAATGGGAGTGAACAGGGCTAATACAATCTTTTAGTGTGTTGCTTTTTTCAACTCTGATTGGTGTAATTTCCACCAATCAGAGCAGCATCATGGGTAATGTGGTTTTCACCAGGAATTCCACTGTTAAACAGGATTATTTTAAAAATAAGCTGAAATAATGTGGGCTGACGTCTTGGCAAATCCCATTGATTAAAAACCTTGTAGCACAGAGAGGGTCTGTCTTTAACTTGTCTTGACTTGACAGGTTTCTAAGTTAATGTACAAAATCAATTTCCCTATAAAGAAAGTTTTTACTCCCGGAACTCAACTGTTGAATTCTATAGACCTAAATCTGGTTAGACACCATATTGAATTTAACACTGATGCAAACGAGGCTGTAAGGCAGGGGTAGGCAAGTTCGGTCCTAGAGAGCCGCTGTCCTGCAGAATTTAGTTCCAACCCTAATCAAACACACCTGAACAAGCTAATCAGGATTACTAAAGCTATAGGCAGGAGAGGTTTTTTTCAGTGTTGGAGCCAAACTCTGCAGGATACCGGCTCTCTAGGACCGAACTTGCCTACCCCTGCTGTAAGGGATAGACTTACAGTCTTTACAATGGCACAAACTGTAGAAAGATCCTAGATTATGTGATTTTCATAACCCACAACTTTCAAAGCTATTTTCTGGAGTTTTTGCCCACTTAAATTGTTCTTCTGAACGATTTTTCATCGGCTGGACAATGTCGGTAAGGTATGTGTTGTTAAACAACAGTAGGATCTATTGAATACACTGTACTTCTATCCTTCACAGCCTGGTTTTCATTCCTGTCAAAAAATAAATATGGCACTACCCTGACTAAGGTCTATAGAAAGCAGTATCATGCTCTTTTGCCTATGCTAAATAACTAACTATTGAGGCAGTGAAGAAAGGCAATGCTGTCTGCAGCAGAGAAAATACTGTACACGTACAGTGCATGGGGCACAAATTATATGGATTACATGACAGGAGCGGATAAGATATGAAAAATGGGCTTTTATGATATTGCTCATTGACCCTGGGCACATTGCCTTAACTTAGAGAGATGTCCATACTTTGTAAACTTACAAATAGGCCAGTATAATATTTAGCCTATATGTTCATGCTCTATTTGTGGTCATGGAAACTAATACTGATGTATTTGAAAGTTATACACTTTTCATACAGTCTTATCACCTTTACTCAGTGTGGGAGCGGTTTGTCATAGCACCTCAACACCTGCCATAAAACACATTAGAAGTTGTGTAGAAGGAAGGGGCAAACAGACTTTTAGAGATGAACCCTGCTGATAAAAAGCACCACACCTCAACATATGATGCAATCCCCACACGGTTAAGAATTTCAAACTTACGGATCACAATGGGCCTCATTTGTCAATCAAACATAGAAACGAGTGCAGAAATCATCTTATGACACATTATGTCATCTAATGAAACATTCGTATGCCAACAATCCCATTGTTGTTAATAAATGTGGCAGCTAAAAACAATTCCCGGACAGATTTATTATGCTGAATGCAAGATCACCCTAACTCAAAAACTTGCGTACACAAGTTGAAACCTGACGTAATCACGTACATACACGTTCATTTCATAAATGAGGGGCACTATGTTGATTTGATTCAACCCTTTACAAGCACGCATTGTTTAGGGCAGAAAAAAGGCTTTTGTTTGGCCTAATTTTTAAGAATGTTAATGACATAATAATGACACAATGTCAAAACACCGCGATCCATCACAATAACAACTCTTTTTGACTAAGAGTTTTACTTTCTCTACAACAGGGGTCTTTCAACAGGGGAAGATTCCACCAATTATTTTTGTGAAATAATAAAAATGTGTTGAAACTATATAACATAAAATTAAAACAAAAAATACAAGTAAATGACTCTGTACATCTGATTAATTTAATGACTCTGCAAAGTAAACATCATAAAGTATGTAAATAAATGAATATGGTACTATTTAGTTTTTAAAACGCAAGCTTAAAACGCAACACTAAAGGTTCTTTATGTTGTCTATGTTTCCATGAAGAACCATTAACATCCATGGGACATTTCCATGCCAAAAAAGGTTATTTATAGTAGAAAAGGGTTGTTTAGATTATTGAAATGTTCTTAAAACTAAGAAAAATGTATTATTAGTTAATTGTTAGATTTTAATATCTCTCTCTCTCTTATATATATATATATATATATATATATATATATAGAGAGAGAGAGAGAGAGAGAGAGAGAGAGAGAGAGAGAGAGAGAGATTAAAATCTATCAATCTATCTAATAATAAAAGAACAGCTAGCTTACTTCACAATACACCAACAAAGTGGTAATAAAATATCTTGAACATTAGAAATGTTGAAAAATGTTACTCTTTTATTACAACATATTTATAGAGAATGCCTGCGAGAGACCAACTCAGTAACAAAATGAGCAATAAATATCTGAACACTATGCCCTATTTAAGACGAGACATATTTCCATTGAGGCCTAAATTACAAGTGGAACTATTAAGGTTTGCTCAGTCAACAACAAAATATGTGATTATCCAGATATCCACACTTCCATTTTGATCTATCCCACAAAACAGTGACAGTTCGAGTCTTGTCTATCGCAACTAAATTTAAGACAAAATGTTCTGTCACATTAAAACATGTTTTCGCTCCATACAACATTACAGTACAGAATTTACTCGATTTTGCGGGAGAATCTTAAATTAACTGGAACCTCATTATGCGAAGGGAAGATAAAAGACATAAGATTATTAATACTCAACATTATGGGCGGATCTCTGAAAATGTTAGCTCGAAGAAGGCTTTACAAGACGCTTAAAATAACGCAGTGGTATGCAGGAATTACAGAACAGAAACCGCATAAACGTTTACATCATAGCTCACTCAATATCGTTTTAACTATTTGAATAGTATAAACGTTAAACAGACCGCATTATGGTGTAAAATAGTATATGTTACTTACAGTTTAAACAGAAGGCCGTCACTTCCTGGGTACACAGTACCTCTGTGCTCGAGCGTGAGACACGCAGCGTAATATTTAATGAGGTGGGTGGGACTCATACTTTCCATGACTGTATCACACCAAACAATCTTTAACTAAATACAAAACATATGACTCTTTTGTTCACCATGACTCACGTTGTTTGGTAATATAGGAATGACTATTGTAATCTTTCCATAAGCCTGTCAAATAAGGCAAGCATAACCTATTGCGGAATACACTGTTTAAAAGATAGTTGCATAAAATGTGTTGCCACTTTAAGATCTGCGTTCATAGTATAGCCTATTAGGGTTCCTGTAGGTTGTGTATTTTTTCTTTGTTGTAATTTTTCAATATTAATATGACAAAGACGGAGTGTTAAGATGTCACAAGACGGAGTGGGTCTAAATATGGAAGTCTGCCCAAGCAGGATCACGCCCTAAAGTCAGCCACGCCTACCTGTGCGTGCGTATGACGTCCATGAAATTGACGCATTTCTTAAATAATTAAAAACAAGAAAAGTGATAGATTCTTGAAATATTATGATAAAAAAAATGTTTTAAGAAAATGTACATTTATGTCATTGTTGTCTTAGATTAATGTATCGTCTTTTCTTGTCATTGATCTGTACAGGTTACTAATAACAATAACAACTTATTTTGCAACCACCCTAAGATAAAAAACAAAACTCTTTTGGTTTCTCATGATGAAAAGTACAATACAGTCCCTCTTGTCATCTAAGGACGGGCACCTGAACTGATCACAGAATATGGAGTCCCTGACTTTGACCTTGTACCATTTAGCAACAGAAGTAAATAAACCCAGTTATTAGAGGCTTAGAACTCAACATGAGTCCAGTTTGTTTGTTTTTTGACTATGTGCCATTCAATCCTAGAGTATATGACTGATTAAACTCAGATTAAACATGCTTTCACAACTTTAAACTTCCTACTGTACATGTAACCTATTGCGTTGTAGCTGTATTTGCATGTAAATTGCTTCAGTAAGAAAATGCCTACTTAGACCATAAATGTGAAGTAATTAATCACTAAACAATTAGACAGACCACATCCATTGCAGGCCTATTCTAAATATGCAATCATTGCAACATCCTCTGCAGGGAGATTGCATAATAATTATATTGAGGACATGTTCTGTAAAAGGAAATGTGTACTTTCTCAAACTAGTAATCACTATATATACATATATACACTGTTGAAATAGTGATTTTTTTAGTTCCTATAGCTGCAGCTGAAAATGTCACAAAAAAGCGAATTATTTCTTATATTAAATATGCTAAATGTATAAAGTCTGTTATAGTATATAGTTATGTTTTAATACAAATACAAAGCACCACATAAAATGCATTCAAATTTCATTAAAATGTAGCTCTTATCACAGTTTAAAAATCAAACTAAAATGACAAAAACTGTTAAAGTTTCTCAGTTGATTCTGATATCCGTGGAATAACATGGTCCCCTATGGATAAGATGGAGACAGCAGTGGAGTTCCTTGCTGATTGGTGAGCCAAGTAGACACCAAAAGTCACCTTAGAACAAGAGCAGAGGAGAAAAGAGATGTACTGTGATTTTCATATATTAGACATGCCATTTCTTGTAAAAGCAATCAAAGGCAGAAAATAAGAATGAGAAGTTTTGTTTTTACAGACTTTTCCACTTCTGCATTCAGAAAGCGACCTAAGGGGTTCCTGGGTCCTAGTGGCTGATTTTTGATCAACTCCAATCATCTGACAACGGCCACATCTGCCCATCACCTTCAAAAAAGCATAAGAAGAGACCTGAACATCTGTTTGATTTCTTGCCAATTATGAGTCCATTATATATTTTACCAACCTGAAACTGGGTGCCTCCAACTGTCAAGTGAGACCAGTCGTCCTCTGCAAACGGCTCCTGTCCCGAGATGACCAGATTCGCCCTGAAACGCTGAATGAGCTGCTCCATTCCTTCATTCTCACTATCGTGCCTTTAACATGCCAAAGATAACAAAAACATTCTGAAATAATGAAGAAATTTTCTTCATATATGCAGAGTATTACTAGCTGACGATTTAAACAGACAGACTGGCAATTTAAAAGTCATCTATTAGCCATATAATAGACAATAATATTTGGGTAGCCTCAAATGTTATACTCAAATACTTTAATTGGTCATTTGTAGCTGTTGTAAGTGAATTGGGCATTACTATACCTGTTGGCAATGTGCTCTTGTAGATAAGACACACTGGCTTTGTTAATAAGCAGAAACTGTGCCTCGTTCACCAGAGAGAGAGCAGTGGGACAACAGGCTGGATAGGGAGACATCAGGAAAAAAGTGGAACAATTGTTGACAGAGTACAGCCATATATAATAATATTTTTCATAGGCTTAGTTACAATAGCTTAGAAAATCTGAGCAGAGTTATAGACATTGTTGAGGTCTCTTCTGAAACATAATTTCTAGGTTCTTATCTATGAAGAAAAATCAGAAAAGCAAGTCTCAATTTTCTCTATTTAATCGAACCGATGTGCAAGAAACAATCAAGATCATATTTGTGATTTTTTTTTCTGCTTTCTAATGGGAAGAAATGTGAAAGAAATAACGATAAATTGCTTTCTGACTTGCATGATTTAAAAATGCTGAATTCTGAATGCAAGCGCAAGTCATAGATCTAAAATTGAATGACTTTTACTTTAACACTGTCTTTTCATAATATACTGAATCTAATGCCGGGAACACACTACTCAATTTTTACTACACGAAAGTCATCGGATCTCTATTCTTCTCACACTACACGACTGCGCTGTTGTGTGCACATTGCACGGCGGATAGGCAACGGGTTCACACATTACATTACTCTAGAACAGTCTTTCTAGCGCAGACACACTGTCAGTTTAACCTTCATCAATACCACTAACACTTAGTTTACCTATACACATGTACACAGACACACATACACACATGCATACAACACACATTCTCAGATAAAGCTGTAACACCTGGGCTTAATGCAATAATGGACTATGTGCAATAATGACTCACACCTACCCCATGGGTAAGACGTGTCTAATGGGGCTAATGCAAAAATAGACTCCGGGCACCAATGACCTCTGTGCAATGGCTTTTTGTGTTTTATCTGTTGTATATTTTTAAAGTATTTATTTATATTAAGAGTTAAATGTATTTTAATGTAAAATGCAAAATAATTTGTATTTCTATTTTAATGCTGCAGATCGGATTTCTCCAACAAAATTTCGTTGTATAAACATATGCAATGACAATAACGATCTAACTAGTTATGGGACAGGAGTTCTCGTGTGAGACTGCATTTCTTGGTAGCTCGCACGAAGCTTGCGATCCAATTTGTCTGTGAGCGGTTTTGCAGCAAAAAATAAAAAAGTAGAATATGGAGGAGAGAATGGTTGCTTGCAGAAGCCATGCTTGCTGATGTTCTGTAGCAGGTCTATGACTCCTCCGCCTGACCTTCCACTTGCCCTGTTTCTTACTCTCTCATTGGCTGTATGTCCTCGTCGGTGTAATTTCCAGTCGAAAATACATTTCATTTCACACTGCAGGACTCGACATCTGCGCTTCCCTCAGATCGCGTCTTTGATAATACACAAACTGCATGGAAAATCAGGCCTAAAATCATGTAGTGTGTAGCCGGCATAAATATCAATAAAGATAATATTCCTTTGAAGGATTAAATTGAAACTACAATATTAAGGATTTCAGGATTTTGTAGCATTCCAAAAAAACAAACAAATCCGAATGCAAATGTTGTATTTTACATTTCCCTCGTCCAAATTTCATATCACGCAGGAATTCCGGTCTCTGCCTTATAAGACGACAAGGTTTTCCCAGAAACTCAGTAAGCCAGGCTGAAACTTCCTTCCCACAATCCACTGTCTGAACCCTACACCAAAGACAGATTCATATTAAGCTACAACAAGATTCATAATAAGCTACAGTATTAAGCTACAAGCTATAAAATTATGAAACAGTTGATACATTTTAAGCTCAACAAATGTCTAAATGCATACTGTAATGATATAAAATAATATGGCTCAATGACATTTTTTGGTGGGCTTGTGTTTTATCTTCATACCTGTCACCACAAACTTTGCTTTGGGATGTTCTTAGATCTGAATTCTCTAGACTGGTCTCCAAGGGTACAGCGACCGCTTCCATGCCTGAGACAAGAGTGAATGCATTATTTTAGCTTATCATTGAACACATTAAAATACATTACTAAAGAATAGATTATTAATGATTTGGGTATGTAGTAACATTTAAACTAATAATTTGATACAATGCACATATTGTGTACATACTGTACTTATATTTAAGAAATACCTGCATGTAATAAGAGCTGTAAGTAATTTCTGTAATTACATCTATAATTACACTGTTGACTCTTCTCTTAACCCACCCTTAAACCTATCCATACCCCTAAACCTGTCCATAACATCCCCGTATTCCACCTTAATAGCAGAATTTTGCAATACAACATGAAAACAATATTTTTGATGTAAGTACATTGTACTTAAAGACATCTAATTTAAAGTGTGACCATAATTTAAACTTTGACCTTAAAATGACAGACATGACATTACAGAATAAAAACATGGTTTTCATTGTTTGTTTTATAGTGTCTTTTGGCACATACAAAGTAATAACATGGTACCATCTGGTATTATCATTGTACCATGGCATTTTCTTAGTACTTGAAAAGACACTGTCTACTAAATTAAAAGGTGTAATTTATTCACATTATCTCATGAGATGCTGGCAGTTATTGTTTTTTAAAAAGCTCTAGTGATGTTCTTTGTATTACACTACTGGGGAAATGCAAGTGTCTGACCTGAGACCTGCAGCTGCAGTGTGTTGGAGGCCAGACAGATGATAGGTCGGATGAGACACAGTTTTGGCTCCCGTTTCTGGCTCAGACAAACCCCATTCTCATTCACAACCATCCACAAACGGTCATACAACAAACCCTGTGGTCCCAGTGGCCACTCTGTCACCTGTTAGGTCAATCACAACAACTGAGTACTTGCCATGAAAACGGATTTCATCACATTAACCTGCTTCTCATTGACAACATAGAAAGATAAAAAAAAAACATATTTCTGTACCTCAAATGATGCACATGATTTGACAGGGTAGATAAAGAGGTTGGTCAGAGTATGGCTAATGTCGTTGTTCTTTCCTTCTTTTGACACAGTGCCTTCAGATGGTGTTGTTATTCTCTCAGGTGAAGGGGTGATTACTTGCTCAATCTCATGCCCTAGTTGACCATTAGTTATTGATGACAGGTGATAAGATGCTGATGACTCCAGCGGTGCAGCTGACTTCAACCTGGTTATTCTCTTTTGGTCCAGGATTAGTGGTTTGTTCACAAAACAATTCACAACAAACCGAAGAAAGTTCTGACAGTCCTCAAAACTGGACATATATCCAAAAGACACACGGATGGATCCTGTGGGACGTCCGTCAACCAGATCAATGTTGTCGCCACAGACATGACCGGCCTTGAAAAGAACCATTCATTAACAATTACTTCAAACATCCATCTATCTGTATATCTATCCATCTCTCTGTATATCTATCCATCTCTCTGTATATCTATCCATCTCTCTGTATATCTATCCATCTCTCTGTCCATCTATCTATCTATCTATCTATCTATCTATCTATCTATCTATCTATCTATCTATCTATCTATCTATCTATCTATCTATCTATCTATCTATCTATCTATCCATCCTTCTGTCCATCCATCGGTCTATCTGTCTGTTAGGTTCCATCTATCTATCTATCTATCCTTCTGTCCATCCATCCATCCATCCATCCATCTATCGGTCTATCTGTCTGTTAGGTTTCATCTATCTATCTATCTATCTATCTATCTATCTATCTATCTATCTATCTATCTATCTATCTATCTATCTATCTATCTATCTATTCATCTATCTATCTATCAATCTATCTATCTATCTATCTATCTATCTATCCTTCTGTCCATCCATCCATCCATCCATCTATCGGTCTATCTGTCTGTTAGGTTCCATCTATCTATCTATCTATCTATCTATCTATCTATCTATCCTTCTGTCCATCCATCCATCCATCCATCCATCCATCTATCGGTCTATCTGTCTGTTAGGTTTCATCTATCTATCTATCTATCTATCTATCTATCTATCTATCTATCTATCTATCTATCTATCTATCTATCTATCTATCTATCTATCTATCTATCCATCCATCCATCCATCTATCGGTCTATCTGTCTGTTAGGTTCCATCTATCTATCTATCTATCTATCTATCTATCTATTAGACAGTCTGTCTGTCTGTAAGATCTCAAGCAAACATCAAAGTTTGTATTGGCAGACGTCCACTTACTTGCAAATTATTCTTCACATTTTGGTTGCTGATACCCAAATAATGTTGGCAGGCTCCTGTGTTGCAGAAACAGCCTGTACGAATATGAATGTTGAAGAGACTGGCCATTTTGTCCACCTGGCAAAACAAAACAAACAAGCAAACATACAAAAAACAAAGTCAATCTTTTCTAATTCTTATGGTTTAGATTTTCTTCATTATCTGGACAATTTGTAGTCAGATTTAATTAGAAACAGCCATTAATTAGTTTACAGTATTTGTTAATACAGTAAAAATACCTTTTTTTACAGGTTAATCTGGGGAGAACGTAACACAACCCCAAAAAAACATTTGGCAATTCCTGACTGACCTGAGAATACCCCACTGTTTGTCCGTGACAGTCCAGTAGACTAAAGTTGAGAATTGCACCCTGTTCTGCAATATTCTGAAAGTCGCTATCACAGTGGATCTGTGCCACAGGTTTTCCATTGCTATGACACAGGCACGAGAGGATAATATAGGTGTAGCGAGCCAAACCAAATGTGTGAAGCTGAATGTTCACCATACTCCCTGAAAACCAAAAACAGCCACTTTTAATGTAGGTCATCAGAATGAGAATCCTAAACATGTTAACCATAAACTTATGAACCTGTAAGTTTCTGAAGCGTTTCAAAACCATGATGGAGAGAAATAATGTCAAGGAAGGAGATTGTGCCATCCTCAAACCTAATAAAGTCATTAAAAAAATAATTACACATTAATCAAATACTGTCAGCTACAGTAGCATCAACTATGCTGCTTGCCAAAAATTAGAGGTCAAATATCTTACCTGCTGACTACATTTGGCTTTGGTACAAAATAGTTCTCTTCTACAAGATACGCTGCTGCTGTCCCTCCTCCAAAGTAACTTTTTCTCAAGACCTTAGCAGCCTCATTCCTCACCAGCAAGGCTCCGAGTCCAGTCGGGAAGCCAAACATTTTGTAGAAAGATATTGGCACAAAATCCGCGGGATACTGGCTTAGATCCAGAGGAGAGCACCCTACAAAACAGGCAGCGTCGAGGAGAACAAACCATCGACCACGGTGCTCACATGCTGGATAGAGCTGTTGAGACTGAATTCCTTTCACGTAGCTGAGGGGATATTTTCTGCCAGAGAAGTTACTCTGGGCGGGATAACAGAAAAGGTGAGGTGTAGAACACTCCTCCTCTCCATTTGTCCGAGTCTGGGTTTTTTTTGCTCTTGCTTCCACTTGGTGAGGTAGAACAGAAACTGTGCCAACTCCCTGGAGTGCGGTCACGCCGCGGATGCCCACCACAGAGGTGTGGTTGTCAGTGAGGAAGCAGAACTGACTTCCAGGCTCTTCTTTTGACACGGCCTTCCAGGGGAAAGTGTCCGCCACTAATTTCAGTGCTGCAGTACATCCTGAAGTGAAAATCACTGAGTACTCTTCAGGACATGTATTAAAATGTTCCAGTATCCTGCAGGCATTCAAAACAAAGAGCTATCACATATATATATATATATATATATACACACACACTTCTCTTTTTCTCTTTTTTTGGTTATGCTCTAATATTCTTTTTGAAGGAAACACCATCGTATTATATTGCTTTTGTATCTGTTTTTAATAATAATAATACATTTAAATGATAATATAGTCTTCTTTGTTATGACTGATGAAAAATTCAGAGGGTGCAAAAGGTCTTACCTGTATCTGATACTTTCCACAGTGTCGTGTGTTAGCCTACTGCTGGGATTATGACTGTGAGGATTGCCTGAGAAAGAAAAGAATGTTACGATCACCAGCAAATGATTATTTTGATGTTATAATATGTAATATGAAGTTGTAAATTCAACAATGCATTGTGCATACGATTGTTCATCAGTGTAAAGGAACTCACCATAAACATTTCTAGATATGTCATCATAAAATTCTTTAATCTGAGATTCAGGAAATAGCGTGGTCCCTGCATGATCAAGGTATGTAACACCTTAAAAAGAGAAGGAAGAACATTTCAGCGTCCACTACTCAGCCTCTAGGTGCAATTCACAATAAGACCAACGGAGGGCGCTGCATTCTAACCAAAAGACAACAACTAAAGAGAAAGTAAACAGTGCAGGCCCACGCTCTCAACCGCTAAACAAATTTAGAGGCTGGTCTTAATCCAAAAATCGGTTATTTACTACACAAACCTTATTGACATTGGTACATTTTTAAACCGTGAGAATAGGTAACAGCACCGCATGCCGTTATTGACATGTTACTGAACGTAAAAGGAGGTTTTTAGGACTTTTTTTATTGATTATTATTAGTTTACCTTTAATCCGTTTAAATTCCCGATCTATCAGCTCTTGTTGATCAACGCCGTAACCATAATAGTGCCAGAAACTCTTAAAACTCTCAAAGGTACACAAGTCCTGGAAGTCCTGGAAGTCCTGCAAAGGCTGAGTCTCCATTTCTGTAAAGTCAGGAAGACACAAGAGCTCCCTCTTTCGCGCATTTATGTATCACTCACCATGTCCAATTGATAGAAGCGAGACCAAAGTCTAGCTGCAGTGTGACTGTTGACAGACAGAGTGGAGTTTCATTAGAACCTCATGACGTTTCTGAAGCATGTCTGATGGACTCACGCGCAGAGGGAAGTTAACTCATCAGATATTAAGTAAAGAATACCGATCACCAAGTAGACCTACAATAACTGAACAACATATTATTTGACATACACTGCAGTTCAAAATACTGGGGTCAGTAAGATTTTTTTTTTCAAAGAAATGAATACTTGTTATATCATCAACTACTTCATTAGTAGCCTACTTCATCAAGGAATACTGAAACCAAATGTATCAGTTTCCCCCCCCCCCCCCAAAAAAATAAAAATATTAAGCAGCACAACTGTTTTCATGCACCATTGATAATAAGAAATGTTAGCAGAAAAGCAGCATATTCGAATGATTTCTGAAGGATCATGTGACACTGAAGAAATGATGCTGAAAATTCAGCAATCAGAAATTTACAATTCCAGGAATAAATTGCATTTGTTTTATAATATATATTAAAAGAGAAAGGTAATTATTTCACAAAATTACTTGGTTTGTACTTCTTTGTACCTAACACATTTTGGATCAAAAACTACATTTCCCTTTTACGAACCATGGTTTATGCATGTTTTATTTATTTATTATTATTACCATGGTAAATCTTGTGATCTGTTGTAACATAAATTTGTTGTTATTTTTCTGTTTTTAGGCTTATTAAATTCAGGTCACAATAGTTTTGATAATGTATACTCAGAATGAGACCGGTGAGACTGGTACAATTTCGGCAGCTAATAAAAGATCCAGAGAAGACATAGTAATAGCTACATGTTACAGGGGGTTTTAAGTATGAAAATAGATAAACAGTCACACTCAACTCACTTTATGTTGTAATATAACAACAGTTAGCAATTTTGGGATTTATGGATAGAGTGCAAAGGTATTGTAATTTTAGTACAACTTCAACTTATTTCAGTTATTTGCCAATGCAACATTTCTAATTTTGTTTAGTTTAAGTTTTATTTTATTTTAGCTTTATTTAAATGAACAAAGTTGTTTGTTAATAGTTTTAGTTTTGGTTTTACTTTTAGTTAAAGGGAACATGACATGACATGCCTTGATCTTTTGACATATAAAAGGTCTTTGTACCTGCATAGCTTAAACGTCCTCCTTATAAACAAAGCATTTATTTAATCAAGCACCAAAAATGGCTCGTTTTGATATTGCAGGATCTGTGATGTCACACATGCAAATATATTTGCATATAACTGCCTCCAGAGCAAGACATCAATGAGTAGTTGCACATCATACATAGGCCCTGCCAATAGCATTCAGTTGCTTATTGGCTGATATTTGCCTACACTGGATTTAAAGCAAATAGAACCCATTATAATCACTGCCGCTGTCTACACTGGATACAGTATACAGATGCACCATCAGCTTCTGACATACTCCACGCGCACTAGCGTCTGTCGACAACAGGACAAATGGAAGAGCGAAAGAACGTTCGCTTTGACGCGTCCATCTCTGTACAGACTTCAGAAGGCTCCCAGAGTTGGAAACCACATTGAATGGTTTAATTTAATGGTGTCCCGGTTCGAGTCAGAGGATTATATGTTTGTTCGGAGCATTTTGTTTTGTAAATGAGGAGAGTTTGCTAAGAAACTTTAGTTGAAAGATGAAGCAGCCAACTGTATTGGATCTGAGAAACCGTAAGTAAATGATTTCATAATGCTTTGTCTGTAAATGATGGTTTTATATGGATAATGTTTTCAAACACTTACTCACGTGCAATAGCGAGTGGGCGTTAATACTGTTTCCTATGTAATGACGTTAGCCAATCATAACAGTGGCCATTTACTGACAAGCCTCTAAGGAGCCACTTTGCTTAAAAACGTATCTTTTCAGACAGATGGTCAGAATGAAGGTAGAAAATGTATATTTGGATTTTATTTGTGCAAAAAAAACTTATTAACATTATAAAAGAACCTCAAGGAACATATTAACATAATTTTAAAAAATCAATGTCCTGATTCCTTTAATGATAACAACACTGTCATGTAACACAGTTTTAGAACTTGATTTTACACTATTTATCAACACATATGCAGAGAGGGAAAGGAGATCCACAGAGACCATTGTTCATTTCCATCCCAGACAGCAGGCAGTGATTAAATATGCCACTTCTGCTCCACTAATTCATTCACTTTGAAATTCTGCTGCCGAGCAGAGTGCATCTTTTTCTGTTAAAGGCCCACATTGTTTTCACAGGACTTTGGCCTCATTAGCAGGAGGAGATGCTTGGTGTGGGGGATGGGAATCCGGCCACAGAGACTTTGTGTCTTTCTGTCCATAATGATGTGACACAGTCAATTTGGAGATGCTTTGTTGATTGGGGGTGTCGGCAAAGCATTTTGGGTATATTACTATTCTTTCTCTGTGTCCTTCAAATTTCATTGTCCATGCATAATATTGTCTTACCAAAATGGACAATGTATTTCAAGATGAGTCTCTTGGGACACACAATTAGACATTTCTGTCTTTTTCCTGTGAATATTTTCCCTGACGAGGTCAGCTGTCTGTATTGCAGCTGTAACAAAGTATGGAAAACCTGTTGCCTTCTGTTCTTCTTGGGATTCCTCAATACTACCGGGACCATCCATTCTCGGGATGAAGGTGCTGTGGCATCAACTACGTAAGTATTAAGTACTGAAAGAGTCTCTGGGCTCACGTAGCCTGGTCTAAAGGCTTATCAGAGGCTAAGCCAGAGGGGGGAAAAAACAGTAAAGCTAGTCTCAGTCGACCAGAGGTACGGGCACAAGGCCATCTGTCCATTCTCTGAATACAACTGACAACAAAGGAGGGCAACTCCGTACTCAGGGAATCATACACACTCTGGATCTGCAAACGTTAACTCATCCTGGATTGACAGGGTAAGAAGAGCTGGTGAAGAGCGTAACTGGCATCTTCGCGCCGTCTCAACCTCCATCACTTTTCAGGTCAGTTTGCTAACTTCAACCCAAAGCTGCTCATCACGCGCAGGGACTTCCAAAAGAAACGAATAGGCGTGTTAATGCTTTTCTGGCAACAACAGTGTTATTGTTTCATCTTTGACTAAGGGAAAACTGTTGTTTATATCTTTCATATACTTTATGTATATTTTACACATTATACCATATTCTATAGCCTAACGCTGAGTTGTTTTTCATATAATATAATATAATATAACACTATTTATAAATTATTTTGATGTTAATAAATACAAACATATTTTTTGAACAACATATATTGTTCTAAATTTTGGCAGTAATATTACATATTATTGTTGTTGAATGGACATATTCATCGATAGATTTAGTTAAAGAGTTTTTAAAATAAAATTTAGTGTCTGTTTACACTAAACTTTTTAATGCGTTTTAGTCGTTCATTTACCGTACATGACAATGGCAGTTTGGGGGCCTGAAAATGCGAACTTTTGAAAACGGGTTTCAAAGTGCAATTTTTTTTTAAAAGCAACAACGTTATCGTTTCCGTGTTTTAGTCGTTTTTGTGTATCAATGTAAACAGGGATTTTTTTTAACAACGTTGTCTTCTGTATGCAAAAACTCAAAGGAAAAACGTATCGGTTTTAGTACATTGTTGTCTTGTAAACGTACTCTAAGTTTGACGTTAAACGCGATGTACTGAATTTACAATATTGTTTAATATAACATAAAGCACTGTTCACAAACAACAAAGGCTTAGCCATTGGAATTACGTATTTAAAACAGACTGATCTTTTTTGAACACTAATCTGAGTCACCAATTTCCCAACATTTTCTTTGTACATCAACATTTCAATGCAAGTGGCATAAATTATTTTAATTCCTGATTCCTAAACACATTTGACATGTGAAAAACAGCGTGTGTGATATCTATGTTCGGGCTTATTATTCTATGCTATATGATGGCAGAATGTTTTCAGATGCCTGTTGACAAGCTTTGGAAAGACAGAAATGGGTCAAATGGGATTTAGCATTAGCCAAACAAATCCGGGCCTAGAGGATTAGACAGGATGGCAGAAGTGTGTTTTATGCATTTACCTGATGAAACCGCACAGAACTATTAGCCACACAAAAGAACCGGCTTTTAAAAAAATGTATTATTCAATTCAGACACCGTATTTTATATTAAGTATGCTGAATCTATAACTCATTCAGTCTTGTTCATGACTGGGAATTTTTTTAGAATACTTACAACCATAATTTAACAAATAACCCTTTTATTGGTTTTGATATTTCACAGAAGTAAAAAAAAAAAAACAATTATATATATATATATGATCAAAATACAAGAAAAAAAACAGTAATATTGTGAAATAATGGTTTTCTATTTTAGTATACTTTAAAATGTAATTTATTTCTGTGTTTTCTGAATTTTCGTCAGGCATTACCCAGTCTTCGGTATGATTCTTCAGAAATCATTTTAATATGCTGATTTGATGCTCAGTTATTATCAATGTAGGAAACAGTTGTGCTGCTTAATATTATTTTGGAACCTGTGATACTTTTTCAGTGATCATAATAAAAACGAACAGCATTTATTCAAAATGGAAATCATTTCCGACAATATAAATCTTTACATCTAACATTTCTTTCTCTTATGATCTATTCAGCTGTTCACATCTCTTTAACAAGTTCCTCTGCTGCTGGAGTGTCATGGAAAGAGGGACCACGTTCCATTTAACAGCTTATGTAAGTCTGAAAACATTTCAAAAGCAGTGGCTTTCAAAGAGGGCTAACAAACGAAAGCATCGGGACTCAATTGGAATAATAGATCTGATAAATAAAGAAAATTCATTCATTTATTTGTCATAGCTGCGGGGCCTCATTAGAGGAATATAAGGAATGAATAAGGCCTTATTAAAGGGAAATTTAAAACAATCCACTGAACTAATGCTGACTCATTTTTTTAAGTTTCACCCATGAATGTTCTCTGTGATCTCATCTGGCTTAGAATCGATTTAGATGCAGATAGCTCTGCTATAAAGTGCTCGCCATTGCGTTTTGATGTTTTGGGAACTGTTACAACTGTTACAGTTCAATTTGGGAACAGGCGACATTGTGTTCCCTCACTGATGAATTAATGGGCCTTGTTAGACATGGTCACACAAACATCACTTGATCCACAGGCCTAGAAAGACTCAAGTGGCTCTTTTTGAGTCTTATCAAACACTGTCACACCACTTCTATTAAAGCAGAACCATTAGAGACGTTAGAGGCAGGTCCTCGCCCACCCGAGTCCAAAAGGGAAATAACACACAACTTAATGTCAGAGCACAACAACAGGTACCTACAGCTAAACAAAACGAACACACAACTGAATAGACATCGCTGAGAGGGGTAATGGGAGAGAATTATGAGTTTTCATGGCTGAAATGTTTGCACACTGAAATTCATTTCATATCTGCTCTGACGGAATGGGTAAATTGGTCTGTTTGTGTGCACAGAGACAGTCTGTTTGAAGCATCTAGACCCAAGAGAAGAATGAATATGAATGAGAAGGAGGGAGGAGTATCGGAGGGGGGGCTAAATGTCACCCTCACCATCCGCCTACTAATGCATGGAAAGGTAAGACACATCTCCAATCCTCACAGAGCTGTACTTGTTTGCTTTCAGCCTTGTGTTTTGCAAGCGCATCCAGTCAAGCAATAAATACAGTAACTGAGAAAGATTTATAATTGTATAGGTGAGATTTTAGATTACAGGTTGTCAATATAATTGATTCTGAAATGTTTTTTTAGACGGCATATTCAGAAATAGCATTGGCAGCATAAAGTGGCATTTACGCAATCATCCTCTCTTATGAAAAGGAATTAAGTCAATAATCTTCCCGCTTATGAACATATCTATTATATTCATGACCTGTTAAAGGTTTGGAATAATTGCTATTTTTGAATGCTTTTGAAAGAAGTCTTCAAAAGTTCAAGCAAAACAGTAATATTGTGATTTTTTTATGACCATTTAAAATAACTTTATTCTATTTTAATTTATTCCTGTGATGGCAAAGCGGAATTATCAGTAGTGCTTAAGAAATGTTTCTTATTATTATCAATATATTTTGATATTCCTTAATTCCATTCAAAAGTTTGGGGTAAGAACTTTTTTTTTTTTTAAAGAAATTAATATTTTTAATCAGCAAGGACACTGTCACAATCTGTTGTATTTTCTGTTTCAGTTTCAAGTTTGCTTTTAGTTTGCTATCGTCATTTGTGTTTCCTTTCTTCTGTTTCTTCTGTTGTCATGGTTGCTCATTCATTGATTACACACACACACCTGTTTCAGTATAGATTCAGTATAAACTTAAAATTGCTGCCTTCGGAGGATGCCTTCCAAGGTAGGAAGGCATCAAGGCACGTCTGAATCCAATGTTAGCTCAACTTCCTGTCTCCTGAGATACCTTCATCTGAAGGATTGAAGGCAGCATAGATGTATCCTTCACTGCCTTTGATATCCCACAATCCTGTGCTTTCCATTCTGTCACAGTTGAGCTAAAAATTAAAAAAAAGATGGCATCTGAAAGTTGCTGTTGCTGATCAGTTTGTGTGTAAATTAATTAGGGCTGTCAGTTAAACGCGTTATTTACGGCATTAACGCAAACCCATTTTAATGGCGTCAATTTTTTTATCGCGCGATTAACGGTCTTTTTGGCCTAGCAAACTTTGTAGTTTTTTTCACATGCTTTTGCAACAGGACGCGGCATGCGCGGCGCTGCGCTATGAAACCCATTCATTTCAATGGCTTGCGCTGCGCGAGGACGTTTTGTTGCTTCGTCGACCAAAGCGCAAGCGGATCTAGCTAGACCGAAAAAAAAAAAAAGGCACGACGCACACACTTGTTTAGGCTTGCAAGCCGGCCAAATAGTAGGTTAACGTTACGTTTTGAGTGGATGACGAGCGCGAGACGCCGAAATGGATGCCAATAAGATTCTGAATGGAAAGTTTACTTTTAAAAAGTTGCCAAATGGTTCCATTGACGAGACCAAAGTGATCTGTGTGTTTTGTCGTTGTGAACTGAGCTATCGTCATCACAGCGCGTCCAGTCTGAAATACCACTTGATGATGGCCAAGCACACACACACACAGCTGATGCGAATTCTCCGCCCCCTCATCAATATCAGGACCTCGTCAGTATTTCTTTCACCCTTTTATTGATGGACAGTGTTACATTGTGTGAGAGATTATTTGCTCCAAGTGAGAATGTTAGTGTGAAATTGAACACGGTATATGCCAATGTTGTTTTCAATAAAAAACATTTGCACAAAGCAAGCCGATCCACTTTTCCATGTTGATAAGAGCATTAAAATGAGAAAAAATAATGGGACAAAAAGAAATCAAGAGACATTTAGAATAGATAAAAATGTGCGATTAATCGCGAGTTAACTATGACATTAATGCGATTAAATATTTTAAGCGTTTGACAGCACTAAAATTAATGTTTTTGACCAACGGTTTCCACTTCTGATGTCATTTCTATTGAGAAATTACTACTGTAGTAATTTAATATTTGTTGAGTTTTCACCAAAGCTCGCTCTATTTTGCTGTAGATCATTAAACTGTTTCGTGAGGTACCTTCGTGCGCAAATGCCATAGGACACTGTTACGTTTACTCTTCGTGTTCTCTAATCTGATCTGGTCTAATCTTTTGTTTTATTTAATAAAGTTACGCTGCATTTAGATCTTCTGCCCGTAATCTCGTCTTCTTCCTCAGCCCAGTCGTGACACGCATTCAATTGATCAAAAGTGACAGTAAAAGACATTTATAATGTTACAAAACACTACTACAAAAGATACTGTTCTTTTGAACCTTTTTAAAGAATCCTGAAAAAATGATCAGTTTCCACAAAAAAAATATTAAGCAACTGTTTTCATCATTGATAATAATAAGAAATGTTTCTTGAGCGACACATTTCTGAAGGATCATGTGACACTGATGCTAAAATGATGCTAAAAATTCAGCTTTGCCATCATAGGAATAAATCAGTAATTACAGTATTGCAGTATTACAGTATTGTAATTACAGTTTACAATATTACTGTTTTTACTGTATTTCCTTGGTGAGCATAATACATTTATTTCAAAAACATAAAAAATCTTATTTTTTCCAAACTTTTGATAGTATATATAGTGTAGAATATTAAAACCCTTTAAGAAGACAGATGGAACACCGCAATCAGTTCTACAGTTTACCATGCAATCATTTTTAGATTAACCACGTTTTGTGTTTGTTTGTTTTGTGTGTGTTTCTAGGAAGTTGGAAGTATCATTGGAAAGGTAAACAATTTTCAGTCTCAAAGCACTGTTCTTATTGTGTTTAATATGGCTTACAATCTAATCTTAATATACACATTCTGACATAATTAATTTGTTTTTTATTCAGATAGTCTTTTAAAATGATTTTTCCCTTGTTTGCTTTTCAGAAAGGAGAGACTGTCAAAAAAATGAGAGAGGAGGTAAGTGCTACATTGATCTTCATGATTAAATAAGACTAATCTTTTTTAATTTATTCTCGAATATCAAAACGTAATTTTATATTTCACATATTAAAGTTTTTAAAACTGATGTTTTTCTTATTACCTAGACAGTGGTAGTAACTTGTTACATATAATCTGATTCAGATTCCAAAAATTACTATTATTACTATAATAATTTTGTACTTATAATTAGATTATAATACTCATAGTCAGACTACAATTACTTTTAATTGATTACATAATTACGTATTATTCACACAATGGCAGTGATTAGATAATTACATATTCACACAATGGCAGTAAATCATTCATAATATTGATTCTCTCTTCATAATTTTGGTTCTTCTCATGTTTTAAATGGTCCTTTCTAAAAAATAACATACAGTCAGAAAGTCTTCTAGTTTTGTGTAATTGCACAGACAGACCAGCCACTAGTCAGGTGGCTATGATTACACAATTGAGAGGCCACAAAGCATATCGACATTGCATATCAAATCAACTCCTGACAAACACATTAATTATCATTTTAATGATTACTCAGCAAGTCATTTAACCATGTATTGTCATGTCTTTGGAATGCATTTTTCTTTCAATCACTGTTAATATAATTTTGATTATTTTAAAATTATTTATTTTAATTTTACATTTTTATGATTCATTTAACTATTAGCTTTTCATTAAATTCAGGAACCCCCTGCAGTTCCTTCACAAACCCTTTCATAATGTAATGTTTAATGCACTGCATGTTGTTGATAAAGAATGGATTATATTATTTTCTTTCTCTTCGTATTTTTATATCAATATGGCACATATTATCCTATTCAATTCACTGTGATAAATGAGTTAGGTCAAAAGTAGTCAGATTACATTACCTAAAATGTGTAATGTAATGGATTACGTTACTAACTACTACTTTGTCATGTAATTTTGAATCAGTAATGAACAACAATTTGTAAGTAATCTACCCAGCACTGCCTATGGACGATTGCTTTGAAATGACATGCAGTACATACTAATGCTGAATAGCTGTATAAAGATTAAATGTAACTAATTTGTGTGGCCACATGTATTTCAAAAATTAGACGGCAGAAAAATGGGATAATTTTCAGTTTGAGCAAACTCATCTTATTATCTGCATGATCTGGTATTTAACTAAAGGGTGCAATTGTCAGCCCAGAGGCCATTGATCAATTAAATGTGATGCAGCACAAAAACTCCGCTTTTCTCTGTGGATTCAGAGTGGAGCTCGGATTAATATATCTGACGGTTCCAGTCCAGAGCGCATTGTCACCATCACTGGACCGTCTGAGGTCATCTTCAAAGCCTTTGCCATGATTGCAGAGAAGTTTGAGGAGGTAGGCGGAATTTTTCCAGCAGTAATGAGCCAATAATGCCATGGGTGATTTAATTCATTTAGATATTAGTAGTTTAAAAATATCTATGTGGGCTTATATTCCTCCTAGCTATTATTTGCTATACTTTCCCATTAATTTTACAGTTAAAAGATTACTGTATAGGTGAATGATATAAAAGTATTATGCAAATGAATCACAATTGTCTGTGTCAGAATTACAGTGAACTTGATATTTAGATACTAACTTTAATAGTGTGATTTCCATAGTAATATGCCTGCATTCCATGCATGATTATGCGCTTGCCTTTTTTGTACTATTTGATGGTTTATTATACTGTTGTTCTTGTTTATTTTACTTACGCTTATTTTTGTGATTATATTTGTTGATTGATTGTTAATGAGTTTTAAATGCAGAGAGATCATATTAAAAATAGTATAGTAACTCATTCTGCCTTAACTGTTAATAAAATTATTATTTCTTTAACTTACAATGTTGAAGTTTGCAAGATATGATCTGGATTACGAGTCAGTCACTTGCTTTATTTTCTCCATGTTGCACAGCGCAAACCAATTGAGCTCTGTAACACTATTACACAGGCTTTTAATGAAATGAATTAAAAGTCAATTAGGTCCCAGCCAAGGGGAACACTAATTACTGTAATACTGACTTACAACTATTTATGCTTTTGTCCCACAATGGAGCTTGATATGGTTATCTTTTACATTGACACAGGACAGCAAATGCATTGATCTCCCAGTTAACATCTAAATGCAGTATTTTGTTGTAAAAAAAAAAAAAAAATCTTGTAAAATCCTGTCAATAATTTGTGTGTAGAGCTTTCATCTCAAACACTGTATCGTATCCCTGAAAATTGGCTTATAAACTTGTTTTTATTAAAAAAAAGGACACAATGACTTGACAGGAGCTGAATTGAGCTGCTTTCTGATATATATGCATCTCTTTCAGGATATCCTGGCATCCATGATAAACAGCACCGTGACAAGCAGGCCTCCCGTGACACTGCGCCTCGTCTTCCCTGCCAGTCAGTGCGGTTCACTCATTGGCAAAGGAGGCTCAAAGATCAAAGAGATCAGAGAGGTAGATATTCTAGGTAGAAGTTTAATTGTTTGCAAAGGCACAGGGTTTGTCATGCAGGTCACAGCGGCTCCCAGATGATGCACCGAATGATCCGTTAAACAATTAGTTTCCGTTGCCTCAGCGGCAGGCAGAAACACTTAACATCAGCATGATTGATTGTCCTCATCAAGACAGAACTTTTTATTCCTGAGCACAGGGGGCCGCTCGGCTCAGGCTTCCGCTTAATCCACGTTATGAGACGGCTGCACCCCTGAGCTGTAATTTCCTAAACTCTTGAACTCCCTCACTTTTCCTCAAACGTATCTATTCGTGGCTTTCGTTGATGGAAAGCAAAGCGATCCATCTCACAAGCCCAACCATTCGTTGTCATTTAGCTGCTGAAATTGACATGAGGACAGTGGCTTTTGCTTGAAGGCTTTGTTTTTTTATTTCGGCTGGTGGATCACATTGAATAAATATAGCTGTCCTCACTGCTGAGGGCTGTGAGGGGTGAACTGGCTGCTTTTATTCCCAGTTGCTATGAATGTCTAGGACAGGACGGCCCACCAAGGCCTAAATAGACTCACATTTATATACAGTATCCAAATAGCTTGACCTAAATAACTGGCCAGACGATAACAATGTCAGTTCTAGACATGAGAATAGCTGTAATACCAAAAGGGACTGTATAGCACACTTTTTTTTTTTTTTTGCAAGTGGGTTTGGAAAGCAATCAAAATTTGTAAACCTCCTCAATGCTGAGAACTTACATTATGAAATAGGATAATTGACCATTAGTAGTCCTATTGCAATTGTTTTAATATGTGCAATATGGACACTGTAGTTTAAAATGCTTCTCATCCAACAAAATGAGAAATTCACTCATCCATATTCTCTCATCCATATCAATATCTCATATTACAAAAATATCCATATCACAACTCTCTGGAACAATCTAATGTGATTGGTTAATCGCATCATGATATTTTCCTAATACTCCCAAGTGTCTATGAAAACGCTGTATATTATCGAAACTACTTTCTCTGGTATAACACTGCGGACTGTTTGAATATGCCTAGTATATAGTAGGCGAAAAACAGTATGTGGAATTACAGTATGTCATAAATCTTTCACAATTTCCACGGGCAAAATCAATATGAATCCTTACGATCATGAATTTCGCATGCAGGTGAAAGTTCACCTCAAATTTTTGGCGATGGATTTAAGTTGTTCACATGGATTCACTGGGTTTACCAAAATAAAACTTCTTGGTTTTAAAGTGACTTCAATGGACCTTTTTTGCCCAAAAAATTTAGTCGCAATTTACAATGGCACATGACAGTTACAATATACACTGTAAAAAAAGATTGAAGTTGTAAATAAGACAGACTATTGGAGTACATTTTACTAGAAAATGCTATTTCAGTTTTTCTACTTCAAAGGTTAAAATGTATGTGTTACTTGCCATTTCTTTGTTATTATTTGTGAAATTTATTATATATGGAACATACTGTTCACTGAACAAACTGTCGCAAAGTTCATTCCTCTTTAAATGTAGTAATGCAGTTTTGGATGCATCTCTCGTTTCATACAAATGCAACTGGTGCCATCTTGTAGTTGTGTCCCAAATGACTCACTGTCCAACATTCCACACTTTGTTTTTCCGGTTAATTCGTGCATTCTCCAGGTGCACTCTTTCTTTTTAGAATTTTCAGTGTGAACACACTACTCGCACTATTTATAATACAAAACTCAATGGAGTAGTCAAAATAACCACAAAAGATTTCCAAAATTAATGTTATTTTAATATCATTGCAGTGCTAGTTTTGTTGCTAGGCTGATTGTTTTAAACATCTTAAATGGACTTTCTTTTTTAACATACTGGAAGATTATAAAATAATTATAACTTATTTCAATGGTGACCCAGAACCGCAGATGTGGAGCGGATAATGACCTTCTCCTTTTAACTGTCACTATTTTAAGAAATATGAATGATGCCATTTGTGGCTTTTCTAATCATCCTGTCCAGCATGTATTGACCAGAAGTGTTGCTGTGTGTCAGAGCACAGGTGCCCAGGTCCAGGTCGCAGGAGACCTACTGCCTGACTCGACTGAGAGAGCCGTGACCATCTCAGGAACCCCCCACGCCATCACACAGTGTGTGAAACACATCTGCACCATCATGCTGGAGGTTTGTGAGCGTGCACGTGAAAGTGCATCCATCTTTTAATTGAAAATCTGTGCTATTATGCATGATTTGTCTTGTGCCTAAATGTTATTTCAGAGGTGGGGGAATATTCTCCAGGTTTTTTTTCACCTTCACACTTCATTTGCATTCGCTTTGAGCGCATGCACTACATGTTAAATGTTCCTGTTTGCTTCATTAGTTCCCAGAATCCAACCTTGGATGCCTTTGTTTTGCAGGGTTTTCCCTGGCCCGCATTAACTTTGGGCTTTGAACAGTGAAATCCAGTGAGGCTTAACAGAGTTCTAGAAACATACTGACTAAACGCCTTTGCTTTTGTCCTGACTGTTTATCTCCCTTATTTAGTCGCCACCTAAAGGAGCCACCATCCCATACCGACCTAAACCCTCCGTAGGTGGCAGCCACACAGTGCTGTCGCAAACACATGCTGCGCCGGTGAGTTCTCCATCCATCAGAAACCATAGAATCGAAAACAGCACTTCAGTAGTAATGTTTCCATAGTTCCCTGCAGTCCACTGGGACACTCTAAGTGTGGATATTTACACTAATTATTTTGCGAGATCAGCTGGCAGAATAAATCGAACCCACAGATGCAATCAGTACAGTCACCAATGGGGCCATTGGACCATTCCAAGTGCTCTTGAACATGCAGATCAGACTGGCTTTTAATCACTAATGCAGATCTGTAGGTGTTTGAATTGGTAAACTTGTGACTAATCATTGTAAACACAGCGGTATATAGCTGGACTAAACAATTCATTCATCAGTATTCTATTCATATCTTGAGAAAAATACTAATTAATACTAACTCTGACCCTTTAGTTTTGACATATCCTCTTGGTATGTCATCCAAAGGGCTTCTGTTGTTCATTTGAGTGATCATGACATTTAGTTTGACTGAGGTGAGGATTGCAAAGGCTAGTTGTCTGTATAATGAAAAATCATGTCAGCTACAAGCTCCATTTGTCTGGAGGATTAAAATGCTAAGAAGGAGTTAAGTTCTGTATTTATTTATTTTTTTGCTATGTCTGGTGATATCATGGGATGTTCATGTGATGCCCCCTTGTGGTTACATTAAGAAGAATTTAACATAGTTTAGTCATAATTCCACATGCCACTCTTAAATATGTTAATGACAAAGAAGTCTTACATGGACAGACTTTGACTTGTGGTGTACTTTGCAGCTTATTCTGGCCAAGAGCTGCCCACTGTAAAACGAACAAAGCAACCAACCACTGTTTGTTTTACGCATTCTTTAGGGGTGAATTTATGTGAAATTTTGTTATTACAACTATTAAAAGGCATCTAAAAAAGTGAAAATATGGATCAGCAGTCTGGTTATACAGAAACCTGTGTAGACTTGCTGAGCAAAACTTACTGATTATTTTACACAGCAAATTAGGTTTGTTTGTGGATAACTAGTATACATACTAAGTGTCTTGACAAGATTTGAAGCCACTAACCTGGCAAACATGGAAAATCCAATAATGAGTTATTTTACAAAAGTGCTCATAATATCAACCTGTGATACCTTTTAAGGCCAATTCACACTGCGCCAACTAACACAGACAATCACAAGATTACAGTACTTCTCAGGCATTTCACAACCCAACAAATGCCGATTAAACATGTTCAGACGGCAAAAACGAGTGCCAACAGACGGCGACAGGGATAACGCACTGATCCAACAAAACCCTACAAAGTGTCTGTTGCATCTGTCGGCTTTTGGTGGCGCAGAGTGAATTGGCCTTTAAAACTATTTTATTTGAATTCTGATTTACACAGTTTTGATTTTCACAAAGATTTTCTAGGTTTTTAATGAAATATGCATCAAATAGACTGCAGGCGGTCCATGGGCATACAATGTCAACTGTGACTAATGACCAAGGAGCAAATTGGCTGTTATTATTTGCACTAACCTAAACGTGTTATCTGTTTCACAGGCATTTGCTATTCCAGGACAGTTTGCCATTCCACCCCAAGACGTGAGTGTTCGTCCCACTGTCTGATCAGTATCATTCACAGCACACTTCACAACACCACTGCAGTGCCCGAGCATCCCACCCCTGACACAACCACATTTCTACCACTGCATTCCTCACACACACCTAAGTGCCAATATCCCTGTCCCTCTGGTCACACTGGAGCCTCCACAACCTTCCTTCGAGCGAGGATATCAGAGGCATAAGGAATGAAGATGCTCTTTGTCTATGACCTTTTCTTTAATATCTTACTGTATCTAGAATCACTAACATCGGTTACTCATTGTCTATTTCATATCCTTGGTTAAGACATAAGTAAACAATGTGTGTTTAATGAAACACTCACATATGAATGCTGTAATTACAATGGCTGCAAAGCAGCCCTGTATTGATAAAACCCTAAACAGCTAATTTCTAACTAGTTAGGGTTTGTTTTAAATCCCTAAAACTAAGAAGTAATCTTCTGCAATCAATTCAGGTCAAACTGTTCACTATACAAACTCCATTCGGTGGAATAACATTTCAGTCTACAACATTCAAGTTGCAATTGTGAGATATAAAGTCACAATGCGAGATATAGTAAAATTGTGACATACAGTGAAGGTACAATTACGAGACTTAAAGTCAATGTGAGATATACAGTAAAGTTGCAGTTAATTCAAAAAAGTTGCAATTGTAAGATACAGTCACATTGCGATATATAATCACACTGTAATATAAAGAAGAAATTGTGAGATATAAAGTCACAATGCGAGATATAGTCAAATTGTGACATATAGTGAAGGTACAATTAAGAGACTTAAAGTCAATGCGAGATATACAGTAAAGTTGCAGTTAATTAAAAAAAGTTGCAATTGCGAGATATAATCACTTTGTGAAATATAAAGCTGCAGCTGCGAGATTTAATGTCAAATGCGAGAGATACAGTAAAGTTGCAGGTATAAAAACAGTCCCAATTGTAAGATAAAATTTCATATTGTGAGACATAATCACACTGTAATATAAATTAGCAATTGTGAGATATAAAGTCAATGTGAGATATACAGTAAAGTTGCAGGTATTTTTACTGAGGCACAAACCATAAAATACAGACTTCCAGATCATTGAGACTTTGTTTAGAAGATCATTTCAGCTGTGTTATATATTTTTAGTTTTGTAAAAATCATAATTTTTAATACATTTTATATTAACTTGAAAATGTCCCATTGACTTGTTTGGTAATAAAAATATAACCAACGGTGATAACGTAATCATAATACTTGCATAACCAATTGTGATCGGTCTTCTTTCTTTCATCTATTTGCAATCTGATTTGTGATTGGTCCTGCATGTAACACTACCTCTAAACTGCAAAGCCGGTGTCACATTGCCTGTTGATTCTCACAGACAGCTGGCAGAAAACCAGACGCGTGTCATGACGACCGCAGAGCCTAAACGTACCTCACACTTTAACACAATCCTTTTCCTACCTCGCAAACACTTGAATTCCCTTCAGGAAATGCAAATCAGGTTTTTCGATCACATTATTTGGAGAGGTGGACGGTAAGTCCAGAGGGGGACCTGATAACTAATCCAATTTTGAGACTTGATATGGGTGCTGTTCTGTCTGTAGATGTGAGTGTCCTCTGAAATAATTCCATTTTGATTGGCTAGTTCTAACCTCCCTTCCTGCCCCCGCAGTTGACCAAGCTTCACCAGTTGGCTATGCAGCATATTCCCTTTACCTCCCTTGGGCAGAGCAACCCCACCTTCCCTGGTACGTACCCAAAGCTCCCCAGGGAAGTCTGTCTCTCCCTTTGTCTGTCTCTCTGCCTGTCTTTCTCTCGATCTGTCTCTTTCCCTCTCCGCTCTTTCATCTGTCATGTCTGACCACCGCATGTTCTACTTTTCCACTCTGAAGAAAATGAGGGCGAAGCCATTTTGTGGTAAGGCAAAAAAATATCATAACACTTCCAGCACAATGCCGCACATGCCGTGCCATGATACGACCACTAACCAGTCCTGATAGCTCTAGTTAGTCTGTGTTCGGATGCCAGCCGTTGATGGCTGCTTTGAGCTGTCAAAGGAATCTGCAATTGTGTCATGCCACCATAACGACAGCATCATGACGGCTATGTGATGCATATGTGTCACCCCTCTTTCTCCTTATATGTGAACTCATCATGAACATTTAACATTCTTCCCCCCTCATGTCACTCCATACCTCCACAATAACCCTGACCTGTTCAAACCGCCAGCATTCTCCTAAGCAAACCTGAAGCCCACTCTCACAGCAGCCCACATTTATCATGACAAACAGAGTCCACACATTGCAAGTGCCAGCCCATAATTACTACTATGGAAATAGGGAGTTGAAGAGAGACAGCCTCTCCATAGACGTTTCCGATAATGCGCGCTATCTGGAAAAGCTTTTATGGGTGTTTTTGAATCCCAGGCAAGCATGAATTTGCCATAAATTCATTCATGACTCATGTACTGAAGCAGCATTAATGCTTTTATACATTGTGTAATTTTAATGTGATATTTTTCGATTTTATTTGAGCAGTCTCAGTGGCAGTGTAGCAATGTTAAAATGTTTCTAAATCAATTTTTTTGTCAGCCATTAGGTTGTCTTTTGCTTACCTTCCCATTTCCCTGCATAGGTCTGGAGGCTTCCTTTGCCACCACTTCTCATGAGCTGAGCATACCTAACGATGTAAGTTATGTGATATAGATTAGGATCAAATAATACACTTGAGGCATAATGCTTGTTGCAGTTCATGTTGCAGTTATCGTTGTGTACAGTGGCCCCAAAAAGTATTTGGACACTTGAGTCACACTTCAATTGTTTGAATATCATTGCATTATCTATATGTGCAAATTATTAATACATTAGAATTATAATATTTGCAATTACTTTTTAACCAGGTGCTCCTAATCAGATTTATTAATGTTTTTGAAAGAAGTCTCTTATGCTCACCAGGGCTGCATTTATTTGATTAAAAAAATAAAATGAAACATTTTAGTGTACTAAAATATTTCACTTGACAACTTTTTTGGTGTGTTTTGCTTGAAAAGTCTGCTTGCCTTATATATCTTACTTTAAAATTCAAGCCAGTTGGTTTGATATTTTGTTTTTACTGCAAAGACATTCATTCAGTTGTAAGTGGGGCCATTAAAATAAAAATAAAGATGTATGCTTTACTATCATGCTGTACCATGACACATTGTTACACTGATTAAAGTATTTGTTATTGTAGAATTTATTTAGTAGAATTCAAGGCATGCCATATAGTAGCGAAAAACAACTTCCATGTCCTAAAGGTTCACTATCAGCCTCCAGTCTTTTAATGTCCAGATGTTGTTTGCCACTCACCCGTCTGTGTCTCTGTCTCTCAGCTCATAGGCTGCATCATTGGCAGACAGGGCAGTAAGATCAATGAGATTCGCCAGATGTCTGGTGCCCAGATCAAAATTGCCGGAGCCACAGACGGTTCGGCAGTGCGCCACGTCACCATCACAGGCTCCCCAGCCAACATCAGCGTGGCTCAGTACCTCATCAGTGCAAGGTGAGACCTTTCCCTCTCACAATTTTAACGGATAGTTCAGTCAAAATGAAATTCTGTTATCATTTACTCACCCTCATTTCATTCCAAATCCGTATGCTGGGTTTTTTTCTTCTTCTGTGGAACACAAAAGAATTATTGAAGAATCTTCACTTTTACATTCTGTGATAGTTCATAACGATCATGTCTAAAAAACACCCAAAAAAGACTTTTTTTTCTTGAAAGAAATTAATACTTTTCAGCATGGATGCATTAAATTGACCAAAAGTGCCAGTAAATACATTTATAATGTTGCAAAAATTTCTAGTTCTTGTGAACTTTCTATTCATTAAAGAATCCTGCAAAAAAGTATCATGTTTTCCACCAAAATATTAAGCAGCACAACTGTTTTTAACATTGATCATAATAACAAGAAATGTTTCTTGAGCAGCAAATCAGCAGAGGATGATTTCTGAAAGATCATGTGACACTGAAGCCTGGAGTAATGGCTGCGGAAATGTCAGGAACTCACTGACTAGATAATTGTCCAAATGAGATGTGTAGATCAAAAACTCCAATTAGGGACACTTCAAAAAAGCCCACACACTCTAACAATGAAGGGGAACCACCAATTGCCAAATAAAAGGACTGCTTTAATGAAGAAGTGGGAAATGTTTCGGTCACATGTGACCTTTCCCAATGCCTATAGTTAACTAGGACTGAAACGTTTTCCACTTTTTCATTAAAGCAGTGGTTTTATCATTGTTAGAGTCTGTGGGCTATTTTGAAGTGTTTACCTAATTGAAAATTCAGCTTTGCCATCACAGGAATGAAACACATTTTATTTAATTATTTCATAGTATTACTGTTATTACTTTATCTTTGATCAAATAAATGCAGCCTAGGTGAGCATACGAGACTTCCTTCAAAAACTTAAAAAAAAAATCTTAAAAACCCCAAACCTTTTTACACTAGTGTATATTCCAAACCTTCTGAAGCCATTAGATAGCTCTGTGTGAATTAAAACATTATTCAATTAAACCCTTATTAAATCATCAAATAGCGTGCTTTCAACGCATTACATCAGTTGTTTCTAATGTGTTTCATGACCAAATGCATTAATGTCAAATGTAATGTCTGGCATCATATTTAATTTGAGAGCTACAGTGGAGGAGAAGAATAACAACTTAAATGTTGGCCTTTTCCTCGCATAAACTATATATTTCAGAAGACTTGAAATACAGTGTATATCCTTTCATTGTGGATCTTGACAACCCAAGTCCCCATTCGCTTTCATTATATGGTCAAAATAAAAGGCATTTCTCCTTTTGTGTTTTACAGAAGAAAGTAAGTCATGAGAGTGAGTAAACACAATGACAAAACGTACATTTTTGGATGAACTATTCTTTTCCCCACAATCTATTTTACCTAATGGTGTAATATGTAGGTTGTAGACAGCAATCATGTGGTCTGTTTCATCTCACCTATTTGGCACTCCTTTATTAATTCGCATCCAGGCATGTTAAACCCTTATTATTATTCCTTCTTGTAACACATAACATTCCCTAAATTGATTATTCTTTTCTCTGTTTCTCTCACCCCCTCCCATGTCACTCTCTCCTCTTGTGTGCACCCGTAACCCCTCAATTAACCACACACTTGTCCTCACGTCCCTCCTTGTTTGCGTGGATCTGAATGTGTGTTTGCAGTTTAGAGATGGCTAAACTGAGCATCCAGGCTGCATCGTCCTCCTCTTCCAGCACACCTATCGACCTCAGCCTGGGCTTCCCCCAGTCCAGCTCCTCCGCCTCCACACCCTCTACCATGGCCATGCTGGCTGCTCCCTCCTCTATTAATGTCCACTCCCCCTCGTCCATCTCCTCCCTCCCCAGTGCCCACTATGCATTGCCTGTTTCCAGCCTGTTTGGCATGAAAAGCGTCCCCCTGCTGGCAGTGCACGCGGCCGCCTCCGCAGGCCTCCCAGCCGGCCTCACACCCTACACCACAAAGATCCCCACCTCATCCAGCATCAAAAAATCTGAGCGGCAGAAGTTTGCCCCATACTGAGCGGCCATGGTCTATTATCTCACCAGTTATGTTGTATCTGTTTGTTATTCGTTCAGTAATATTAAGTAGATTGAGAGTGTCTCTCACTGCCCCCTCTCTTTTTTTTTACATTTTCAACTCTCTTTAGTCTGTAATGTTGATGTTTGAGCAAAAGGTCTGCAAAGTTACAAAGTCCCTCCGAAAGGAGTTATTCTCCATATCAGTGCACAACTGTTTTTGAACTCCCTGAAAAGCCTCGATTGTAGTTTTGAACGTTCTTCCAGGAACAGACACATCTCAATGTTCCTCATTTAAATAATCCCCACCCAAGCCACAGGCCGGGTTGAGTTGCGTTAGTAGTGTGTTGAAACTCGCGGTTATGGTAAGGGGCGTGACATTTCCTGAAACACACTCAAAGTGGTTGACCAATCGCAACACACGGGTCCAGTCAACCAATCAGAGCACATGGTGCTTTTCAGAAGGAGGGGCTTCATAGAGACAGGAACTAAACAGAGCGTTACTGACAGACTGGGAAATAAGGTGCTGCAACAATGTGAAATATTTGAAAAATAATGACTTTTTTGAACATTCAAGCATGAAAACAGAATCTAGTAGACCCCAAAAACAAAATCAAGACTTTGTAAAAGGGCATAATATAGCCTCTTAAATGTCTCTGTGCAATATTTCACAAACTAGGAATGGCGAGTGCATGACAAGATTAATCGCTCCTTATATTGTCTTCCATTTTGTTTGCCGTTTCATTCAGAATTTTTTTAGATATCCATCTCGCTCCATTTAATTTATCTGACACTGCTCCTGCTCTTTTTTTTTTCTTTTTCTTTTTTTAAGAAAAGCCTAAGCCAACAGGAACTTGATTTATTGGTACTATGCAGCTCACGGTGTTGAGCATGTTTTTCTTAGATAAATATATCTTAAAGCGATCTTAAATGTGCTGATTAGAATGGCTGTCATCATTGTTATTGTATCACAATATACAAAGTAATTTAAAAGAGGGTGTGATGCTCTGCCTCATACTGATGATGTTATTCTGACTTTAACCTACTATAACATTGTCAGAACATACATCAATTTAGTTTTTTGTAAAACCCCTTTTTATTAACACTGCAGAGAAAATGACAGTAAAACAAAGGCACAGCAGGGCGTCAGAGGGGGGACAATCCTGGGCCCTGTGATGACGTCCTTTTAATACCATGGACCCCCTGATATGATTGAATTAATATATTTAGCAGCTCTATATTTTAATGTATTAAAACCTATTTATACTGTGTGGGAAAAAATGTGATATATTGTTTTCAAAATTAAATAATTGGTTTTTATATTGCCACTGTATTAACGACAAAACAAAATATTTAAAATAATATCTGGAAAATATTCACATGGAAAAGTTTCACAGCGAATAACTACTTTAGATGTGTAAACATGAGGAACAATTTCATTTAAGTTACTGATAGTGATTTATTTTCACAATGAATATTGTTGCAAAGCAGTTTTATAAGTATAATAAGGGCCATTAAAAATATTTAACATCTTAATTATAACATGTACACGTTGACAGTAACTGTTCAAACATTTGGGGTCAGTATGCTTTTTTTTATTCATCAATGATGCATTAAATTGATCAAAAATGACACTAAAGACTTTATAATATTACAAAAGATTTCCATTTTAAATAAATGCTGTCATCAAAGAATCCTGATTAAAAAAGTGTAAAGGTTTCCACAAAAGTATTAAGCAGCACAACTGTTATCAACACTAATAAGCTCAGTTTCTTGAGCAGCAAAACTGAAGACTGGAATAATGATGCTGAAAATCCAAGAACATTACATTAAATTATATTTTACAACATTGTAAAATCACCAGATGTAACAGTATCACTGCTTTTACTGTATTTTTGATCAAATGAAAGCAGCCTGGATAAGCATAAGAGACTTCTTTCAAAAACGTAAGAAACCCCACCGAAACATTTGACAGTAGTGTATGTATTTTATATATTTTTGTTTGTTTTTTTCTCTTTAATTTTCTTTAAACCCCCATAGCACTCCCTTGCAACTCCCTGGTCCCAGGACACCAGTTTAAAAAGCCCTAGTAAAAGCTATACTTTGTGTTAAATGTAAAGCAATATCTACTAAAGGTGTTATTTTTCTCTAAGCTAAGATAAACAATGACACTATGAAACTGTGACAGCAGCTCTTTATGCTTCTTCTGCCCAGCAGGGCTAATTATCAGATGTACAGCTGTTTTTAACAATAATTTGATCTGTTCTTCTGTATGATTGTGTGTTTTCCTCCTAGGCTGTCCTCAGTGATAGCAAGTCTGAGGCCACTGTAGTGCAACATTTACAGCTAAACATTAATCTCTGATTGGATTACCCTAAAGACATAGTGGACTCTTATGGACTCAGACACTACTCAAGAAATCCTGGCTACATGATGTAAATTGTTTTCTAACTTGAAAACTATGTATTAAACAGATGCGCTGTAACTGTAGTTTCATGTATTTGTGTTTGATTTTAGATTGCTTGAAATTCTGTACACATTTTACTTTTCCAGGTTCCAAGTATGACAAATCAATGTGCTTTTGACATTTGACTTTAATTAAACAACAGCTTTTTAATAGTACTCACACTCTTTTGGTTTAATTTTATATCCAAAGATGACTTCTCTTCAAAGAAAATGCCTTGGCATTGCATTTATAAAACTTTTAATGCAATTATACTTTTTGAATTCCCTATTTCCTTGCATTTCAGTGCCTGACCTGTTGTGATTGAAGTTAAAAGGTAAAAGAAGAGAGTTTTCATGGTGCTGATGCATATCTGCTGCCGTGAGTCTTTCAATAATACATGCAGTGCTTAAGACAGGGTTATTCTGGTAAAAGTACGCTGGTCTCTAAGAACCTGGAAGTACATTCCCTCATGGGGAAAGCTGTTTTCATGCCCTGTATGTGATTCATGTTTGTCTTTTGGAGAGCTTATTTTGTCCTGCTTATCAACCATTTGTTTCTGGTGGATGTTTGCGGTTTTGTAAATGTCATCAGCACTCACTGGTTTACTGGAGAACAGACACTGTGACAGGCTGAATGCTATTCATCTCAGTCAGCCCCAGAACATATCATGCCCATAGGAACCGGTGATAATGCTTGAACCAGCAATGGATCAAAAACACTGCATGTTTTCTCATGACCTATTACATGCGTTAATAATTTCCCAAGACATATGAATGCATTATGACATATGTTTTACCTTTGTCTTGGATGTTTCACGACAGACTTCTTTCTAGGGTTCTTTGACACAGTTTCCTCCCATAGAAGAAAGGCCTCTATGAATATTAAAGCTAAGGTAGGCAATGTTTTTATAAACACTTTATTCTGTTGGTTGAAACTGTCTTGATAGCAATCAATCAAAAATAGAAGTGTTCTCAGGACCAAAAATAAATGATAGGATGTTCTACCTGTCAACGTATGTATTTCCATATCTCGCGCAGACATCATACGTCATCAGCGGGTTCCACAGGGCTCCATGCAGATGTGTAGGCTGCATCCGAAATCGCATACTTCCCTACAAAAGATGTATGTATTGTGATAATGTCAAAATGTAGTATGTATGAATTACATTCATATTACACATATTCAAACTATATAGAAAATACTTTTTTAGCCATGTGAAGTAATTACTTTTTCAAAATAAGTACCTACTCAAGGCAAGAGAGTATGTGATTTCGGACACAGTCAATAACAAACAGCGACCATCTTTTACAGTTCCTCCTGAACCAAAACAGTGAGCTTATGCCGCGTTCACGCCATGTCGTAACCGTAATTATGAGATGGCAAACCGTGGTGTTGTACTCTGAGCTGTATACTTACTTGGATTTATGCATTTCAATGGCAACACTATCAACGGCGAAATGAACCTGCAGCAGTCACGTTGTACAGGTCAGTGCTCTTTAAGTTGTTTACGTTCATTATTATTGTAATGTTATGTGCTTTGACACATGATGTAATTTAACGCTGTCTCACGTGACACTTTGCAGTCTCTGCTGTGTGTGAGATCATCTATTTTGAAGGCGGTGTGGCTTTGGAGACGCTCTGAAGGGAGGGTGGGATCTTATGCTTTCGAAGCTAGCTTGCTATTGCTAGCCTCTCGGAAATTGCCTACTCCAACTTTAATAGTTTGTCTGAACTTTTTTACCCTTTAGCAGAAATGTCTCCAGTCCAGAGAGTGTGAGACATCAGTTGGTTCTAGACAACAAACTTTGTCAGGCAAAAATCGGAATGAACTTTTCGTCACCCTTGTTTTAGATACTACCTTTTCACAGGTTCTGCTGGGACAGGTTTCCCTGCAGGTTGCTCAATGATGCATGTGGTCTAAGTGAACCATTAGCACGCTGTCACTCACTGCACGTAGAGCCCTTGTCCTGTTCTCAGGGAGCAGAGGCCCCATTCAACTTTAATAATATAACTTCCGCTTTTAGAAAAACACTCTCACACTAAGACGTTTTGCCAAGCCATAAGAATTTGACCTTAACCCTGTCTGCTTGAAGATCTGAATCACGTCTGCATGCTAAATACAGGTTCGGAGTGGATCAATTCTTAATGGGCATGGAAATGTGGTGTCAGAAGGGGACCTGTTCTCCTCTGTATGGAGGGGGTGGTGGTGCCAACAGCGTGTGCTCTGTTGTGAAATGTAATGCTGTGGACATCTATTCCTGCCTCTTTGTTAATGTTGAATTAATGATTTTCGCCTCTCACCCCATCAAAAGAAGATGGTGGAAATGGCTTCGACCGACCCTGAATAATCAATTATATTAATGCAGGCCTGTGCTGGATATGAAGAGCATTTCTTTAAAAGGACGTAATCATCTGGCCTCAAGCACCACTGTCGTTCTGTGTTTATGTGTGCGTGTTTCAAAATTGTCCCCAGAAGTTGGCTAAATCTGACAGTGTCCTTTTGGGGACATCTGGGGACGTTCTCATTTGGAAAAACAATTCATATAAAATAGTGTTGTTTTTTATTGAAATAATGTAAAAAGATTTCTCATAGGGTTTAGGGTTTGGGTTAGTTTGTGGTCATTATTATTAACTTTATAAAAAAGCAACAGATATCTATGGTATGTTCTCATTTGGATAACAAATAAACGTGTGTTTACTATAGTTTAGGGGAAAATGTGTCCTGAAGTTAGATACCATAGCGTTTAAGAGTTTGGGGTCACACTCAGAAATAAGGATTGATTTTATTTGATAAAAAAATACTATAAAAACAAAAAAATGGTAAAATAGTATTACAATTTAAAATAATTGTTTTCTATTTGAATGTAGGCCTACTTTAAAATTTAATTTATTCCTGTGATGGCAAATCTGAATTTTCAGCATCATTACTCCAGTCTTCAGTCACATGATCCCTCAGAAATCATTCTAATAAAGACTGTTGATACATTTTTCACAATTTTTGTGATTAATAGAAAGTTCAAAAGAACAGCATTTAACTGTAATAGAATCTTTTGCAACATTATAATGTCTTCTTTACTGTCACGTTTGATCAATTTAATGCATCTTTGCTGAATAAAAGTATTCTTTCCAAAATCTTACTTTCTCCAATTTTTTGAATGGTAAAGAAAATCTGACAAAGCTTATTTGAAAAAACAATTCAGTAAAAAAAATATTGTCAATAATGTCAAAGAATTTACATTTATGGGTTAGTCTGCAGTCATTATAATCAGATTTATGCAAAAACAACAGTATCAACATGTTGAGAACTGACTATTTGAAAGTCATGCTTTAAATCAAACAAAGTTTTCAATGTACTGATATCAACAGGTTTGTATAGAGTAGAGTTATGGTTACGGTTCAACAAATATCATCTCATTCATATAAAAACTAGGTGTGTGTGTGTGTGTTTACTGGTTTGACCTACATAGGTTTCAGGACACACACCCTAAATTATAAGGACATGACGATGTCCTCATAATTCAAATTGCTAAATAAAAATACTAAACATTTTTTTTATTAAAATAACAATGAGGTGTGTGTGGCCTGGTAAACCCTACATTATGGGTACAAAATGTCCCTACAAAGATGGCAATATCCTAAATCCATGTCCTCGTGGGGACATATTTTGGTCCCAATGAGGAAAACAGCTTATAAATCATACTAAGTGATGTTTTTTTTGTTGAAAATGTACAAATGCAGAAAGTTTTCTGTGATGGGTAGGGTTAGTGTAAGGGGGTAGAATATAAGTTTGTACAGTATAAAAATCATTGTCTATGGAAAGTCCCCATAAAATGTGTCCCCGTGTGTGTGTGTGTGTGTGTGTGTGTGTGTGTGTGTGTGTGTGTGTGTGTGTGTGTGTGTGTGTGTGTGTGTGTGTGTGTGTGTGTGTGTGTTCTGATTTCACTGTTCATAACTGAAGAGATCCCATTACAGTGCAACAGCAAGCAAATAAAATCAATACAAATCATGGCAGAAAAGTTCGATCTTCATGTGCATTTTCATCAGTTTTATACCTGCAGTTTTATACCTCATATATTGTCCTCAGAATCTCGAGATGAATGCCAACACGGAAATCTGCAACACAGACACGTCGCACATCTCACGAACAATAACAATCTAAGAATGGATAGTCTCTGTCAAAACATCGTGAACAAAAGATTAATCACACAGTGAAATTTGTGAGTCCAGTAAGAGAATGTGCCACCTGGTGGTCGGAAAGGTGACGCGCGATTTTCATTAAACTCCTCACCCTGTGACGCAAGTCTGCCGGTTTATGTTTTTTTTTTTTTTTTTTTTTTCACTGGCGCTGAAGAGTCCACTCCTTTCTTTCAGTTCTCAGACTAGAGCTGAGGAGACATTGACAGCCCTGTCGTCTTCGCTTTTGGCAACATTTGAATTGTCTTATTTCCTGAGCGCAGTTGTGAGGTGATGTGGAGTGTGCAGAGACTGATGAACGAGCCTCGATGTAAACTGTGTGACAACTATCTACACAACACACCAACAACACCGACGGAAAGATGCAGGTATGGACGTATAGTCCGTTTTAATGTATCTAAATGGCATTATAAAGTTACAGTTAAACGTTTAAAATGAGTCAAAATAGTGTGTTGCATGACCGATACTTAAATGTGCCCAAAATGAACAGAACTGATATTTACGGTCGAAGAATTAAGTATGACATGGATCAGATAGAGCACTCGCTATGTTTGGTCTCTGTAAATGTTTTTCTTTGGGTTACGTTACGTTAATTAACTTATGTGGGTGGTGTGAATATTACAGCTAATAGCGTCAGTGTTACAGCGAATGCACCGATTTAGTGTGTTCTTTATGTCGCATCGTTCTCTACGCCTCTTTTTCTCATTCTCAGCCTCATGTGAACTCCAAATGATTGCCTCAGTTATACTTTGTATCGTTAAACGTGAAGCTGAAGATGTGATTTTCGAGTGGATATGAATAATGCTGTGAAGAGCACCTGTGCATTGCATCAACAGGCTCCAGTCCACAGGGACTGAAATTCAAATAAATGCATGGCTTTTTATATGCATTATGCGAGTTCATTTTTAAATTTAAATTGCTGTACGTCTTGTTTGATATCATACTTCCACTAATCTTTTTCCTCTTCAGATATTGTTTTCTTGGTTAAAGGGTTAGTTCACCCAAAAATGAAAATTATGTCATTGATTACTCGCCCTCTTCATGTCGTTCCGAACCCTGAAGAGTTTTGTTCATCTTCGGAACACAGATTTGAGAGCTTTCCGTCCCTCCATTGACATCTACGCACCTACCACTTTTACGCTTCAAAAAGTTCATAAAGAGATTGTAAAACTAATCCATATGAATTGAGCGGTTTAGTCCAATTTTTCTGAAGCGACTCTGATCGCTTAATATGATGAACAGATTGAATTTAGGCTTTTATTCACATATAAATGAACAAACCTCTTGCAGAAGCTCAACCGTGCTTCTTAACACGAGAATGAACCTCGTTGGTTCTTGCAGAAGCTCAAACGTGCTGCGTAACACGAGAATGAACCTCATTGGTTCTTGTAGAAGCTCAAACGTGCTGCGTAACACGAGAATGAACCTCATTGGTTCTTGCAGAAGCTCAAGCGTGCTGCGTAACATGAGAATGAACCTCATTGGTTCTTGCAGAAGCTCAAACGTGCTGTGTAACACGAGAATAAACCTCATTGGTTCTTGCAGAAGCTCAAACGTGCTGTGTAACACGAGAATGAACCTCATTGGTTCTTGCAGAAGCTCAAACGTGCTGCGTAACATGAGAATGAACCTCATTGGTTCTTGCAGAAGCTCAAACGTGCTGTGTAACACGAGAATGAACCTCATTGGTTCTTGCAGAAGCTCAAACGTGCTGCGTAACACGAGAATGAACCTCATTGGTTCTTGCAGAAGCTCAAACGTGCTGCGTAACACGAGAATGAACCTCATCGGTTCTTGCAGAAGCTCAAACGTGCTGCGTAACACGAGAATGAACCTCATTGGTTCTTGCAGAAGCTCAAACGTGCTGCGTAACATGAGAATGAACCTCATTGGTTCTTGCAGAAGCTCAAATGTGCTGCGTAACATGAGAATGAACCTCATCGGTTCTTGCAGAAGCTCAAACGTGCTGCGTAACACGAGAATGAACCTCATTGGTTCTTGCAGAAGCTCAAACGTGCTGCGTAACATGAGAACGAACCTCATTGGTTCTTGCAGAAGCTCAAACGTGCTGCGTAACACGAGAATGAACCTCATTGGTTCTTGCAGAAGCTCAAACGTGCTGCGTAACATGAGAATGAACCTCATTGGTTCTTGCAGAAGCTCAAACGTGCTGCGTAACACGAGAATGATCCTCATTGGTTCTTGCAGAAGCTCAAACGTGCTGCGTAACACGAGAATGAACCTCATTGGTTCTTCCAGAAGCTCAAACGTGCTGCGTAACACGAGAATGAACCTCATTGGTTCTTGCAGAAGCTCAAACGTGCTGCGTAACACGAGAATGAACCTCATGGTTCTTGCAGAAGCTCAAATGTGCTGCGTAACACGAGAATGAACCTCATTGGTTCTTGCAGAAGCTCAAATGTGCTGCGTAACACGAGAATGAACCTCATTGGTTCTTGCAGAAGCTCAAACGTGCTGCGTAACACGAGAATGAACCTCGTTGGTTCTTGCAGAAGCTCAAACGTGCTGCGTAACACGAGAATGAACCTCATTGGTTTTTGCAGAAGCTCAAACGTGCTGCGTAACACGAGAATGAACCTCATTGGTTCTTGCAGAAGCTCAAACGTGCTGCGTAACACGAGAATGAACCTCATTGGTTCTTGCAGAAGCTCAAATGTGCTGCGTAACACGAGAATGAACCTCATTGGTTCTTGCAGAAGCTCAAACGTGCTGCGTAACACGAGAATGAACCTCATTGGTTCTTGCAGAAGCTCAAACGTGCTGCGTTACACGAGAATGAACCTCATTGGTTCTTGCAGAAGCTCAAACGTGCTGCGTAACACGAGAATGAACCTCATTGGTTCTTGCAGAAGCTCAAACGTGCTGTGTAACACGAGAATGAACCTCATTGGTTCTTGCTGAAGATCAAACGTGCTGCGTTACACGAGAATGAACCTCATTGGTTCTTGCAGAAGCTCAAACGTGCTGCGTAACACGTGAATGAACCTCATTGGTTCTTGCTGAAGATCAAACGTGCTGCGTAACACGAGAATGAACCTCATTGGTTCTTGCAGAAGCTCAAATGTGCTGCGTAACACGAGAATGAACCTCATTGGTTCTTGCAGAAGCTCAAACGTGCTGCGTAACACGAGAATGAACCTCATTGGTTCTTGCAGAAGCTCAAACGTGCTGCGTAACACGAGAATGAACCTCATTGGTTCTTGCAGAAGCTCAAACGTGCTGCGTAACACGAGAATGAACTTCATTGGTTCTCGCAAATGCTTGAGCTTCCGTTTACAACAACTGATGTGAGTTGATGAATGTTTATATGTGGATAAATGCCTACAGTAAATTAAATCCGTTTATCATATAAAGCGATCAGAGTCTCTTCAGAAAATTTTGGACTTAAACTGCTCAATTCATATGGATTAGTTTTACGATCTCTTTATGCACTTTTTGAGGCATCAAAAAGGCAAGAAATCGCTCAAATTTCATTAAAAAAAAAAAGATTTCATTTGTGTTTAGAAGATGAAAGAAAGTCTTACGGGTTTGTAAAGACATCAGGGTGCGTAATTAATGACAGAATTTTCATTTTTGGGTGAACTATCGCTTTAAAATATTTGTTGTTAAACAGAGTGTTTTTTAAAACCTGCTTCAGAGGGGGAATACAAGTTTTTACCTGCTTTTTTAAATATCAGAGCTTGGGTGTTTTCTCTTCATGCGTGGGTTTCTCTCGCTTGTGAGTGGGAAGCATGACATGCAAAACCAGAGTGGATGTTAAAATCCATAGTGGATGAATTGGCTTCTTGTGAAACTATTTTATTTGGCACACTTGGCAGAGAAGAAATATACAAATTAATAACTGGCCAGTTTTTGTCTGAAACATAAGTTGATTGGTATTAATTACTTTGTTGAAGTGTATAATTGGAGAACTGTTGTATAAAAACAATGGAAATTTAGCATCAGATTAATTTCTGTGGTCCAATCTGTTATTTAAAATGAATGAAATGAACATTCATCTTCAATTTTCTAAATGTATGCATGTTAAAGATCTTATTGTCAAGAGTTCATCTGTGCATTTGTTGCCATTTTCCCAATTGTTTTAACCTCATAATGTTTATGTCATAACTGTATCTTCCAGTGAAAACAGACTTTCTCTCTAGTGATGAATGGCAGACCAATGGATAGTATTCCCACCCTACATTTTTTTCCCGATCCTTTACACTTAGATGTATGCCACAGTACTGAAGAAAAGATCTGTCGATACTTCCATGTCATTGCGACTTTAATAATATCACAGCTGTGATTACCTGCAGCCTTGTACCTACAGATCACCACAGCCATGCTGATATTTAGCACAACAGCAATCTTGCTCATGTGATAGTGCTGAAATATTTTGTTCACGAGGCCTTTTCCTCCCTTCTAAAATCTATTCCTCGATTAACCTCTTCGTGTCGTTTAACAGATTCAATTGAAGTGAATTGATTGCGCTTAGCTGGACGGAGAATAGGGGAGTACTGAAGTGCCTGTGACTCAAGTTCCCTTGAGGCAATTTACTTTCGTGTCCATCACCCCCGTGAAAATTGATGCGTGGAGGTGCGATTGGAAGATTGCTGTCGCCATGTGTGATTACACCCGAGGCAGTCAGTTTTCACATGTTTCCAGCATTGGAAAGTTGTAAAGCTCTTAACAAAAAAAAATAATAATAATTACATTAAAAAAAAGAGAAGAAACAATTTAAGTAATTATATTATTTTTGGTTATTTCCTGTTTTAGCGCATTAAGGCAATAAAATGATGGCAACAAATGACATGTACTATATTTAGAATTCAATAAGTATCAATCAAATCAGCTCCTTAAACATGAATAATTCTGCAAATCAATTGAGTGAAACAAACAGTGAGAAACTGATTATCAATAGTAACAATTTGTAGTTGTAACTATACCATTTATACTGTGCTTGCTTATACTTCTCATTTTTCTTCATACAAGTGACAGAGAGCCAAGTGTTTGGTGTCTATTGACTACATCACATGGACCCTCACCACACAAACTCATGTAATAAAAAGCATTCATTTAATGCTTAAAATAGAGGTGTACAAGGTTAACAATCAACTAATTGTTCATTGTGGAACAAATCCATTCTGGCAACAAGTTACTAAACATGACAATAAACTCAACAACAACAGAAATTAAAACAGTCACAAAATGCAATCATATTTGTTCATACTCCAGTGCATAGGAGGACAGCAAATGGTCTGCAAAACTACAAAACTATTGCAGGAAACTAGATTGCAGGAACTATTGCACTAAACTTGTGAGCAAAAGGAACATTTAGTTAGGCAATGCTTATAAATTCAAGATGGATTATACACATTATTTTGGATTTAGTGAATGATTATACTTAGTAGTTGTTAGTGAACAACTTTTCATGAAATCCACAGAAGCACAGAATCCATTTCACAGCCTGAACGATTAAAAGTGTTACACTCCTTAAGAGAATTGATTTTGGGAAGCTGTTTGGTATTTGATGTAGCCAACTTCTCTGACTGATATTGCCTTGCCCCTGTCCATGGTGCTGAAACCTGTAGTTTGTTTCTTTTACAGATGTGACGACGCTTCTGCTGTAACACATGCAATTTAAGGATTGTAATGTGAGTCCAGGTGCAGTCCCGTAATTTTATGCTGGTGGAGAGGAGTGAAATGCTTCACTCGGCTGCCATGACAACAGGACTTATCTTTGTTACTTGGCTCTTGTATACAAGCGCACGAGGCAATCCCATTGTGTCGGTGCCGGAGGGTGGGGAGAAAGAGCGTTTGGAGCGCGTTCTGACCCAGGCCAAGGAGGGTGCGCTAAGCCCCAGTGCAAGGCAGCGTTTGGAGGAGCTGAGTAATCTTGAATTGGAGGGGATCAAGGGCGTGAACAGATCCAGTGCTATCAGGGCCCGACCCAACTCGAGCCCCTTGAGACGAGGGTCCAAACTGCAGGGTAAGACCCTCGAAGCCTGGAGTGAGCAAGAATCACTCAAGCAAACTGAAGAGGCTCCTACGGAAGAGGCCAACGTCTCCCTCGATGCGACCGATGAGTACGCGTATCCCGATTACAGGGGTAAGGGCTGCATGGATGAGACAGGGTTTGTGTTCGCCATCGGGGAGAAATTCACCCCGGGACCCTCCACCTGCCCCTGCTTGTGTACAGATGAAGGTCCCCTGTGCGCCCAACCAGAGTGTCCAAAACTTCATCCACGGTGCCTGCGTGTTGACACCAGCCAGTGCTGCCCGCAGTGCAAAGAGAAGAAAAACTACTGTGAATTTCGAGGAAAGGTCTACTCATCTCTGGAGGAGTTTAAGGTTAGAGCAGCACATTAAATGATTCATTATCCAATCCAGATCCCATCTTTAACTAGGTTTATTCTTCTCTTTTATCTGTATTCAACAGTGTCAGGAGTGCTAGAGTGACCTTTATTTAATGGCAGATTATGTGAAGACTTTGAGTTTAGATCTTCACCCTTGTGAATCTGTTCATTATTGAGTGGAATCGAGTTTTCTGTCCAGTTAAAAAAATCTAATGTGTGCACATCATGTCTTGATTATGTATTGATTCCAGCAGGCCAAAAATTAGATTTCGAAATTCCACTTTTTTATTCATTTTTAATCCATCACTCTTTCTCAGCCTGAGCCTTTCCCCCAGGAAGAGGCTCGCAATAAGATAAAATGCTGTTTTTTCCTGCATTTTATGCTGTGAATGTGTGAAGAGTTCAATTATTATGTGAAACTAATGGTGACTTATCTTGCTTAGGCAGTGTTATGTTAGAGAAGACAGGCCTTTTTTCCTGTAAGGCCCTATTATGATGCTCTCTAATTTTGTCTTTAGTGGAAAAACGCTTGTCATCAGTTTCAGAGTTATCACCAGGTGTACGAATGATTCTTTTTGAACTGCATGTGTCTCAAAAAGCCATTAGCTGCTTCTACAGCTTATGCTCTTGATTTAATTTTCATTGGTTCCTCCTCCTGTGTCATTGGAGTCCTTATCCAAAGCACCTGAGCTTTATAGTAAGCAGTGAGATTTATTAATGCAGAAGTCAGCAGAAGTGCTTTTCAACAAGAGTGGTAATGATGACCAAGCACTGAATTTATTGGTTCTGCTCAGCTGTAACTAATGCATATGCAGACTGCAAAGGTAACAATTAAACCCTCTGCAGAATGAAATGAGTCCGGTATCATATCTGTTTAGTCCCACAATGCGGGCTTCTCAGGGGAGCTGCTTTTCACTTTTAGAATTGTGAAATTTTATTTTCCATCACAATTGGACGTGACACATTGTTCTCTGTTTGATTTGTTAAAGATTGTCTCAGGAGATACTGTGTGGAGAAGGTTCTTGTCACAGAAAATGCTAATGCCAGAAAAGTCCTTTGTACTTTATTCTTGGTAGCAGAGAAGCAGTGAGCAAAACTGATCGGTTTGTTCATATATATACAGTATGTGATTTCTGGGACATCTGTAGAGTCACATGAATGCTTCAGAAATCCACTGTGTGACAAGACTCTGAATTTATCACATGAATACAGTTCGGTTTAGGTTCATAAAATGCATATGGACACTTTTGGTGCCTTGGATTTTTAAAAAACAAAACTGCTTTTGAACTCGCTAGATTATATTTGTCTTTTAACAATGTCCAAAAGTTTATATACATGAACCACAGCAGAATTGTGTCATTTCTCTTGTTTTCCCTGAAGCATAATTTTAACCACATCTGAAATCACTATTCAGAGATGGAAATGATATTTTAAACATTTATGGAATAAAATGGCACTCATTTTCTTACTAAGGCTAATTTCATTGTCTCTATTTATGCATTTGCATAAAAAGCAAGCTATCAAAAATACTTCCATATTTTTGCACACATTGTCCATATCATTTTCACTTAAGTAGTATTTTGTCTAATCATAATGGTCATACAACTTTATGTAAATTATTAGCACTTTACAACATAGTCCAATTAGTTACCATTAGTTAATGAGCAATACATTTGTTACAGTATAATTTTTTGTTTACATTAGTCAATAACAATACAACTGTTCATGTTAGCTCAGGTCCATTAAATGATATTATACTATGGGTCTGTTGAATGCTTGAATCTGATTGGTTTACGAACTTTCTAATGTGTGTAATTATTTTCAGGGAAAAGCAATAAATATAGTAAACAATACGTTAAAAACAACAAATCCACTTCGCTTCCTTTCCGCATTACCACCTCAGGTGTGCATTATTTTCTAATAATTCAATGGCCCGTCGTCAATTATTCCTTGCTTAACAGATACAACTTTTAATAATGTATTAGTAAATGTTGAAATTAACATTAGTTGAGATGATTTAGAAGTATTTGTAATTGTTAGCTCATATTAACTAATGTTAACAAATGGAACCTTGTTGCAAAGTGTTACCAAACATTTAAAAATAGAAATGGTTTAGATTTTACACTTTTTTTTAGATGATCATAGTTTTAATTTATTGAAAGTCTGTGTCTACATAATAAAATCTATTTATTAAAGACATTTGATAAATAGCAAATGTAAATTAAGGGATGGTCAAAAAGTTTCCAAGACAGTTTTAAAGTGACCTTTTTAAAAAGTTTTTATAAAAAATTAACCCTGTAAAAGTGCCTGTAGCTGAAGAATCACTCAAATAAAGGAGACAAGGATTGATATTCATTCATAATGAATGGGCTCGAGGGTAAGACATGACTCAGAGTTCCCCATGGACATAAATATGGAAAGGAAGGAAGGGAGATGAGCGATGCCAGAGGTATTGCCAGGAGGAAGTAGGTAAGCATTGTTAATATACTCCAAGATTGGCAGAAATGAAGCATGCTCATCAATTAAATTGAACACTCATCAGTTCCCTCAAAGAAGCACTCTCTTGTTTTTCTTGCTCTGATGATTCAACCTCATATCAATCCTAATAGTATTATAAATGCTGCAACATAGGGTTTTTGTTTCTTGTCTGGGTATGTTTCTAGGTGTCTCCCTGCGAGAAGTGCCGTTGTGAGGCCAGTGGAGAGGTTCTTTGTTCTGTGTCCGCTTGCCCGCAGACAGAGTGTGTTGATCCAGAATATGAGCCTGAGCAGTGCTGCCCGGTGTGTAAGAGCGGTAAGTAGTTGTGTTCTTCCAGCCTTTCTCTCTTTCTCTGATTCTCCTCCTCCCAGCTTTCAAACCTTCATTCCCTGAACTGCAGAACCCCTGCGGTGTCCCCCAAGAGCGAGTGATTTAGGTTAGAATCGGATCTGTAAAATGACCACTGAGACTCCTATCCACTACATCCAATTACCACACCACGAAGAAAATTCGCAGAAAGCATGCACAGAGAAGCAGATCTCACCACCTCTTTTATGCCCTACGTGCGGATCCATCTCATTGTTCTATAACAGCCAGTTTACCATCAGTGAGGTGATGCAAACCCAAAGAGATTATATTTGTCTGCAGGCCTTTGTTTAAGATAGTTGACGAGATGCATTATTCAGACAGATATAGCACTAATGAACCTGCAAAGTTGCTCTGCTTGTTTCCAGGAGGTGAGGTGATTTGCACAGGCAGGTGTTTCGGTTGCAGACTGCTTTCTCCAGCCCTAGGGCGCAGATGATTAAACTTTTACGCATGTTTTTTTCCCTCCATTTGGCTGGAAATACAGAAATATAAGGTATGTACTCTCTCGTCAAAGCGCCCGCCGCAGAGAAGGAAGAATTTTCAAAGCCACTCTACATGAAAAGCACCCTTTGCAATGGCACCCTTTTTTCAGCTGTGTTACAAAACCTAGTGAGCTGCCTACAGAGGCAGCATTTTAAGAGATACTGGGCTCGCTCCCGACAAGAAGGCTGTTCCACAAGGAATCTGAGATACCAGGCAGTGTATTATGTGTTGCAGAGAAGGCAATGCAGTGGCTGCATCCGAAATCGCATACTTCCCTTCTATTTAGTAGGCAAAAAACAGAATGTGACTAGAGTAGTATCTCCGAATTCACTAAAGAGTAGGTAAAAATACCTGGGTGAGCTGCTATTTCCGACAATATTCTGAAGTGCACATTTGATGGATGCTTTACTATCCCATGAGGCCACAGGAGAGGATTTTTTCTAAATGGCAGTGAAGCGACGTAACTGACGCTGGTAGGTCACATGATAAGGACAACATGGATTGCATTCACTCTACATACATCCATACTATACAGAACATACTTTTTTAGTAGTTGCAAAGTAATTACTTTCAGTACATACTCAAGAGAGTATGCGATTTCGGACACAGCTGCTTTGAAGAACTTATGGCGCTTTTCTAACTCATGGTACGGTACGGCTCGGTACGGCTCACTTATGGCGCTTTTCCACTGCATGGTATGGCTCGCTTCAGCTCGCTTTAAATGGTACCACCTCTGTTGAGGTTCCAAGCGTACCGTACCGATACTAAAATGTGACGTGAACACACTGCAGATCACTGATTGGTCAGACAGAATCGTCACTACCAGCGTCATTGTATTTGCGAGATATCAAACCCGCTAGATTTAAATAGCCAGTAACAGCCACCGTTGTAGCACCTGTTTTAAAACGACTTGCTTGAAGAAAAAAGAAAGAAAAAAAACGTCCAAAAAAGAAATGGCTGAATCGTGGTCAGTGGACGAAGTGCAGACGTTCCTCTCGTTGGTTGCCGAGGAGCGGATAAACTATAACGGTCAGACTTTAAAAATTTATTAATTTATTCCTGTGATGGCAAAGCTGAATTTTCAGCATCATTACTGCAGTATTCAGCAGAAATCATTTTAGCTAATATGCTAATTTGCTGCTCAAGAAACATTTCTAATTATTATCAATGGAGCAACAAATTTGTTCTGGTTAATATTATTGTGGAATAGAAAAGTGCAAAAGCATTTATTTGAATAGTCTTTACTGTCACTTTTTTGCATTCCTCGTTGTATAAAAGTACTAATTACTTGAAAAAATGTAAATAGTAGTATACAGTAATGATCTGTTCATTCATGTCCATTCATTATACATGAGCTAATGCTAATTTATACAATTTGAAATGTAAAGACGTATTAGAAGTTAGAAATCAACATTAATTAAGACATTCTGTAAAAGTATTGCGTGGCGTAACGAGCCAACACCGGGCCCTTATGCAGGATTATCAAGGCGGGCCCCCCTACTACAGCATGTGATGACGCAATGTCCACGAGTAGACTACCATGAATAGGACAGGATAGGATCATAGAGACACACAGCATATAAGAGATGAGATGACTGACAAAATCAGGAGTAGCCTACACGCACCACAACAAAAACAAAACACTGGTGACGGCGCACCATAACACATTGTTACTCACTGCTATGACTACACACACATAGGCCTAGGTCCAAATACATAAAAAAGATGCTCACTTACATTATAACGGCATTTTCCGACCTTTCCTCTGTGCGAAGTTTCGATTAAATCCTTAAGATCCAGATGGCGCGCACAGGCATTCTCAATTGACAGTATGACAAGTCCAGAGAGACGACTCTGATAAAAAGCTATCTCAGGAGCTCAATGGGACAGTTTCAGACAGTTTTGAAAAAGAACGCTCTGCAGAGGCTACTGTCACTGGGATGGCGATCACTGTTTTAGCGATCAGACTAAAAGTAGTAAAATGCGATAGGGGGCCCCGGCTGTCAATCAATATCCTCCAGTCACGTGGGCCCCTGATTGGTCTGGGCCCGTAAGCAACCACGTACCCTGCTTACCGATAGTTACGCCTGTGCGATACCTAATGCGTTAGCTAATGTTAAAAAATGTATCCTTTTTATAAAGTACAGGTAAAATATAGTTAAAAAGGAAATATTTCATTTTAGTATCATGCGGTTAGCATAGCAACATGTTAGCGTCAAACTATTGAAATCAGTTGAAGAACCCCGTTTGTGTGGTCTGTTCTATGACAGTCTAGATGCTGTCTTGAAAGGCTGCCGTGCTGCCTATGTAGGCAGTAGACAGAGATGCGACTCACTAGGATTCTGAACAGACCTTTTGTCTGCCTTGTGCGTGCTGCTGTTCTCTTTTTGGCCAGAGGAGTGTTTTTCAGAAGGGGGGAGGAAAGAAAAGCTGTGACCTCAGGTTAGTGTGTGAGCGTTCTGTGATTGGAACACATTACAATGTCTTGGGAGAAGTTTTCTGATTCAGTGTGGGTTATATAGAGCTGTTTGAGATGCTTTTAGACAGCATGTCCAAGACTGTTGCTTCTTGTGTACGCCTGGATCCTGATCTAATATGGCACCGGCAGCCACGCTGCCTCCTTCAGCAGAAAAGAAATGATGACTTGGTAAATGGATCTCTGACTCTGCAGCTAAACTCTCAGCGTAGTGTGGACAATGGGGGAGGGGTGATGCGGGCCAATTATTTTAAAGAGCACACATGTTTAAATGAATCATCTTGGCATTTGCTGAGATGCTGCCAAGACTCCCTGATCAAATGTCTCAGTTGGTGTTTGGGTGTGAGATGGAATCCAGGGAACAAAAGCGGGCCAATTTCATCAAGTCGTGCCGTTGTGAATTCAAACAGCTTTACAAATGTATATGCACACTCAAGCAGTCAAGCTGTATGGTTTTATGATGGATTGGAAACATTTTTGTTCAACGCACAAGATTACAGCCGCCTAGTGATTTCACGGCGCGGCTCAGCTCCGTCGCGCTTGCCAGGTAGTCTGCAATTTGATTTCATCTCGGAATTGTTGCGTTAGATAAAATCAGTCTAATATGATGTTTGTGCTTCCTGTGGTTCTTGTGCATATCTTGTGGGGGTGGATCACAGAGTTGCGAGTGTGATCACGATTTCAAACGAGGGGGACAACCTGTAGGCAGAAACCTGCCCCGGATGCCCCAGCTTTGGCACCTCTGATTTGCTCTAAATGTCTGAGGTACAAAGACTCCCAACGCAGATGCAGTGCAAGAAGCAGATGCTCTGACCCCATGAGATTTGCACTCTTCAAAAGTAAGACTTCAAAGCGTCGTGCAGTGACACCGTAGGATGGGTTCCGGCTGTGATTCTAACTTTGCTTCTGATGAGGATAATAATCACATACACAAACTTAACGACGAGAGAACATCAAGGAGGTCCATGATGTTCTCAGCCACTGACACTGGAGCCCCCCGGAAGTACATGATTTAAAAATAAAGAGCCAACCACATTAGCCGGAATAGCCATGACTGATCACTCTGGAGCCAAAATGACATTATGGCAATGATGATTGGCTTATGGCTGCACAAGAACACCAGGGTCGTGCGACATTTGGAATTCCTCAATTTGAATTCAATTGATGTAGAAAACAGGTTGCATAATTGCAATTTGTATGTAAGAAAGAAGAATACGAATTAACTCATATGAAAATGAAAGATTGTTATGACCAGCTTTGAATAATAGCTTGTCAAAGCCTTGAGTTTAAAAACAAATCTAATTTGAAGGTTTACGGGCAAAAGGGAAGGAGGGAGGGGAGGCAGATGGATGGATGAATGTTCAAAAAAAATTCAGGTCAGTAAGAATTCTTAAATACTTTTATTTAGCAAGGATGCATTAAATTGAACAAAATTTGACATTAATAAATGTTAAAAAAGATTTCTATTAAAAATAAAGACTTTTTGTTAATCAGAGAATCCTGAAAGAAAATGTACGGTATCTCTGTTTCCACCAAAATAATTTAAGTTTTTAAGCAACTTTTTCCAAATTTAAAATAAAAAATAAATGCACCAAACCAGCATATAATGATTTCTAAAGGATCATGTGACACTGAAGACTGGAGAAATTGCCAAAAATTCAGCTTTGACATCACAGGAATAAATATTTTTTTAATATATATTAAAATAAAATAAAAACTGTTATTTTAAACTGAAATTATATTTCACAATATTACTGTTTTACTGGCTAAAAGAGCCGTGCTAAGCCCCCCACCCCACCCCATATCAATACAGAAACTTTCCAACTTTCTGTGCAAGTGACTTGTTCAATAAATCAAAAGGAGAATGATTATTTAATAAACATATTTGACCTTGGTGAGCATAAGTCACCACACGTTTTAGAGAGAGAGACAGACAGACATTGATTCTCTATCTATCCTGAAAATTTACACAGTCCCAAAACCCTCA